CAGTCCAGCTGTCTGCAGAGGCTTTCTTTGCCTAGTGTGGGCAGTGTTTGGTCCCCAGTAGAGATAGGGCACATTTTAACAATGTGTGTAGTGATCTGCTTGGGAATTGAGACCTGATGCTCCCCCCTCCCCCCACTTCCAGAACTGAGGTACCAAAAAACAGGAGTTAGGAGATGCATTGGCAGTGTTTACACTGGTCTTTTGGGATGCAGCCGGCAACCCAAGACTTAAGGTGAATGTGATTGGGAAGGACAGGTCCACAGAAGGAGGGGTGGGGAGTGTTGGTGCAGGCAGTTTAGGTAACAAGTGTCAGACCCAGAACCCTGCTGGTTGGGTTGTTTATACTTGGGGGTGGGGTAAGGAAATGGTACCTATCAGCAACTTTGTTCCTGGTTGTCCCTGTCTCTCCAGTTCATGTTCTGTAGATGATGAGCAAATCATTCACCTCTCAGCTGCCCCTGGTGCTTTTCAAATGGCTGATTCCTTGCTGTATCTGCACTGACTGTGTGGTCTCGCGGGGGCGGGGGTGGGGGAGGAGGAGTCTACTTCTTAATGCCCTCCAGGCTCTCTCAGAGCTGAGCCTGCAGAATTTAAAAACTCCAGGCTTTAAATCCACCTGGTTGTAAGAACTCACAAAATCCTGCCCCTCTCGCTTTCAAAGGCAATTATTAACAGAGGTATACATCCTGTTCATGGGCTCCCAGGTGTGAAAGTCTGTTTTTTGCCCTTCTTCACACCACTGGCTCTGTTCCCACTGCAGACCACATCTTCACCCTTCCTACCTTCTTTGGGTAGGGCCTCTTCTCTACCTTCAGTAGATTTTGTTCTGCCAGTCTGCAGATCGTTTTCTAGGTTATTTACATTGATGTATTATGTATCTGTGTGACAAGGTGAGCTTAGAGTCCTCTTACTCTGTCATCTTCCCAGCTGACCCGGTTCTGCTGTTATTTCAGTTTCTACTTACTGTACTTTTTTCCTTCTTGCTTTCCATTGAGTAGCAATGGAAAATTTTATTCTACCTGCTTAAAAGAATTAATACATGCCAGGGGCACCTGGCTGGTAGTTGAGGGAGCAAGTCTTGATGTCGGGGTTGTGAATTTGAACCCCACATTGGGTATAGAGATTACTAAAAAATAGAAAGTGGTAATACATTCCAGTTGGTTTTTTTTTTTTTCAGTTTTACTCAATATTAATCGTCGTTTACCGCTATTGATTTAACTGCCATCTAAATCTTCCCGATAAGACTTATTATACGCTTATGTTCTTGGTCTTCCTAACATAACATGTTAATATTCTTTGGAATTTTGGTTTTGGATTGTTGATATACTTCATTTTGTTTTCCATTGGCCCTAGCTGTTTCAGATTACAGACTTTGCCAGAATATTTTATTTGCTTACCATTACTTCCTGTATCTCAAGTCTAAATTTATTTTTTATTTGACTGCTTCTTCCAAGAGTAATTTTTAAATGGATCTTTTGTGAAAAAATTCTGAAGGTTTATATTCCTGATAATTTTTTTAAAGTAAACTCTACCCCCAACGTGGGGCTCAACCTCACAAACCCAAGATCAAGAGTCACATGCTCCACCAACTGAGCCAGCCATGTGCCCCGAGAATATTTATTACATTCTCAAATGAATTTTTCTTGATCTAAATTTTGAGTTCAAAGATCTTTTTCTTCAGCATTTTGGAAATATGATTCTTTGTCTCACATTAGAATACTGTTTAAAAACCTCGATGTCAGTCTGATTCTTCTCCCTTTATAATCGATCTATTTTTCTTCTGGGAGCTTTCTGAATTTTTGCTTTTCTTAGATCTTTTTTTTTTTTTTTTTTAATGTTTTATTTTTTTCTGAGAAAGAGACAGGTAGCATGAGCAGGGGAGGGTCAGAGAGAGAGGGAGACACAGAATCAGAAGCAGGCTCCAGGCTCCGAGCTAGCTGTCAGCACAGAGCCCGATGCGGGGCTCGAACCCATGAACCGTGAGATCATGACCTGAGCCGAAGTCGGACACCCAACCGATTGAGCCACCCAGGCGCCCCTTAGATCGTTTTTAAAACCATCTCTCAACTGTCTCACTACAGTGTTTCTGGTTGTATGTTTCCCCTACTTATGAGTTCTTTCATCTTTCTTTAAATTCTGGTCTTATTATGTCAAATATTTCTTCTTCTACTTTTTCTCTTTTCCTTCTAGGACTCCCAGTTATTCACATGTGGGCACATCTGCTCTTCCCCTGGACTGCTGTGTGTCTTTTTCCTTTCCTGCTTTCTATTGGTAAAGGTCCTCAGGATGCTAACTGATTAGTTTTGACCTGTATCTGTCCCTCTATCCCATTCATTATGTTTTTCATCCTGGGTATTTCCCTGTACTTCTTATTCCTGTTTCACATTGCTAATATTTCCCTGTGCACTTATTTTATTTTTAGTTCTTAACTAATGTATTTAGTTTGTTATCTTTGGGGGCTGAAGGTTGTACATCCCAGTAGCATCTGGTTATTTTGGCCAATGAGTTCATGTTTCTTCAGCACACCAGCTCCTGTCTGGTAAAATTTTTGATGAAAGGCCAAGACCAGGCTCTATCGTGTCCATCCCAGTGAGCTTAAGAAAGGGAGAGTAATAAACACCTCAAAGTCACTGTTGACTGCTTTACCAGTAGTTGCTTCAGATCATTAGGAAGCAGCGGCAACTTCCTAGTTGTCATCTATCAGCCCTGGGGCTTTGGAGAGGGAAGGGTTTTTTTAATCTGAAGAGCAGCCCAGCACATCCCTTTTCATCCCAGCAGAGCTTATGACAGTGTCCCACTGACACCAGTGACTTGACAGATTATTCCATGTGTGGCAAAGGTAGACCTCTCACTCATGCCCTACCTCCCAGTTATAATGGGAGACTCCTCAGCATACTTACAGGATTCGGGGGTGGTTTGTTGCTGGGTTTGGTTTGGTGGTGGTTCCTCAGATTTACGCCATCTCCTAAGGTATATTACTTTTTGGGGAGGAGAACCAGTACCTATGCCACTTTATCATCTTCATAGGCACCAAATCCCCTAGTATATCTTTACTGGTGTTTTTTTTTTTCTTCAGTCTTTCAATGTTATATTTTATGTGTTTCTCTTGTAAATATAGTTTTACAAATATATCCAATCTGTTAACTTCAGTTTGGAAGTGGTGGCAGTGATGGTGGTTTTAGTATCTACTCTGAGAACTTTTGCCCATTAAGTGGTCACAGGTTTTTTAAAAACCTACTTTCTCCTTCATTCCTGTACTGTTTCGTTGTTTGAAGTATCCCCCCCCCCGCCCCGCCCCTTTGGTGCAGATGTTACATATTCCAGTTACCAATTGTTAATGGCTTTTCCAATATTTATAACATGACTACCTGACTTAAATCCAGCATTTTTTACTGCCTTCCTATGGAAGGACCTTAGCTTGCTTTAATTTCAATCATCATTTGACTCCCCACCCTCCATCTTATTTTGTTGTTCATATCTTAACTCCTTCTCTTTATTCTCCTCCCTAAGTAATACCACTGGGAACTTAATAGGCCATGTTGCCCTGGAGTGTCAGCTCAGCAGTGACAAGATCTGCCGCCATCTTTTCTCTTGTTCAGCTGACATTTTCCTTTGAGAAGCCACGTCTCCCACATCCCTACTACAGCTTTTAGACTGTGCTCCCACAGGCACACTCTAAAGTGCGTACCAGCCACTGTGCCAAGGACTAGGATGGGACGATGAGTAAGAGGACACTGGTGTCTTTGTGATGCTGAATATTTCCTGTACTCAGCTGGAAATACGCCTAATAGAGGAAAGCAGCATTGGCTTCTGGGTTTTGTCCTTTTTTCGATGGGAGGAGTAGGGGATGAAAAATTCGTCATCTCAAAGATAAAAAGCATATCTTTCAGTGAGCTGTGGCTGAGGTAAGATGTAGAAACGAGCCCCACACCCCAAAACAGGAAAGTCCAGAAAGCCAGTAAATGATCAAGCCCTGTAGCTCCTCCTTGAATCCTTTAACGGCTTTCTGACACACCCACCTCCTCAAGAACTGGTCACCTCCCCACCTTCTGTGTAGCCTGACCTGCACCACTGAGGAAACCTGTATTCCTGGCCTGGAGCAAGTCAAGCGTTTGCTTCTGTGATTACCTCCAACCTCCTTTTGGATGGGATGCCTGCTGCTCCTCTTCATGTTGCACTAGATACGCGCTTCCAGACCAGAGGTTCTCACAGTGTGCTCCCTGGACCTGCAGCATAGTGTCTCCTGGGAACTTGGTAGAAAGGTACTTCCTCCTGTGCCAGACCTACTCCATCAGAAAGTCCACAGTTGGTGCCCCACAGTCTAGCATCAAGCGTCCCAGGCTTTTGATCCAGCCCAAACAGACTGTGGGGTCCAAGTTCTAATTTTGTCATTTATAGTATATAGACTGAGTTATTACTTGCTATGCCTCAGTTTCTGTATCTGAAAACAGCCAGTTCTGCTCACACCCAGTTGGTTTTCGTGCGCAGGGCCTTGGCTTTCCTGGGAGAGCCAGGTTGCACACCAGCCCTCCTTTTACCCCAGGTGCTGTGCAAGCTACTCCATGAACACTGCCCCACGTTCTGGGGCATGAGGATGCCCCTACTGCTTTAGAAATCCAAAAGGGAAGCGTGAGGGCCCAGAAACCTTAAGTCCACACCCTGAGCATTAGGACAGTCTGAATTCCCTGCTTGGTCCAGTGGGTGGGGTGAAGGTGGGGGAATGAATCATTTTTGTGTTAACAGAAGGTTGGAGAAGAGGACAGAAAACCCCTTCCCTGAAACCCCGAGGGGAGCAGCTGGCCAGCAGAGGCCAGGAGCCAGCACCCCTCCACAGTGACTAGGCAGTGGCAGCGAATCTCAGCACCATCGGCCACACACACTGACGCCAAGGCCCACAACTTCCTTACTGGAGGCCATCACGTCCCAAGGATGCACAGGTGGCTGGACCCGTGGTACAGGTCAGCAACGTAGCACAAAGCAGCACACCCAGCAGGCACACATACAATTAAATAGCATGTTTAATCATCTCACAACAGACAGTAGTGCAGTAGTGTAAACTAAGTTTCTTTTCAAAAAGTCACTCCCCCAAAGCTCCCATTCCTCAACCCCCAGGATGACCATGGCTGAGGAACCAGTGATAGGGCCAGAGGGATTCAGGAAATCTCTGCTCCAAGGAGCTAAAAGTCTGTCCAGGTCAAGGTTGCCTTGCAAATAGCCGAGAGCCCGATGAGGAGTTGATGTGTGCACATTCTAACACACATGCAGGGGACGCACAGAGAAGACAGGTAGACACAGAGCGCCGTGGGGCAGTCGCACACATGCGCTCATGCCGTCACATTCCAGTCAGTGTGACCGTCTCCTGCGGGCAGGGCATGGGGGCCTGAGCGCTGAAGCGGCAGGTCAGGAATAAGAAGAGTCTGTGGCCAGCCCAGCTGTCTGACAGATGCCCCGGCAGCCAGAGGGGCTCTCCATTCCTGAAACATCCAGTCTTCCCCTAAACTCAGGCTGGACATGGGCATCAGTGGTGAGGACTGGGGTGCCACTTTCTCTGGACCTAGCGAAAGGGTACGGCTCTGTCCCAAAAAAGAGTACAAAGAACGTGCCCACAGTCAGGCTCTCGGAGCAGGAGGCTGGTGGTGCTTGGTTCTACAGCCAGGACTTGCCGTGGGGACACCCTGGGAGCAGCAACACTGCTAACAGGGAGCTGGGGTGGCGGCCGGGAACCAGCTAGATGCCCCTTGGAGCAGAGGAGGGGTTTGCAAAAAAGGAGGCCCTGAGGTGAGGACATTTGCGGGGGGCCTACCAGAAGGGTTTTAAAGAGGAAACCTCTTCATTCACAGCTTCATTCAGGGTTCCCGGAGAGGGTCTCTGGATCGAAGTGCCAGCAGCTCTGGTTGAAGGTATTAGGGTGGAGTGAACAGCAGACGCTGGGAGAACAGCTGCCCACAGACATGGGAGGTATGAGAACCGGCCTGGCAATGCTCTGGACTCGCACTGCCCACCCCTACCCTGAGGAAACAGACCAAGTAGCTACAAGATCTCCTCCCGTGGGCTCCTGGCCTTAAGTGGGGTCTGCCCGTTGGGCACAGAACCGTTCTGACCATGCAGGAGTTTGCCCTTCTCTCGGTCTGGCCACGTGAAGATGGCGTCATCGCTGTCCAGCTCCGACTCAGACCGCATCAGGCTGCTGCTCAGCATTGGGCCTTTCTGTTTGATGCCTGCAAAAGAGACGAGAATCCAGGCTCAGGAGCACAAGACCTTGGCCTGAGCCACACCCTGTACCCTTCTCCCAGCCTGGAGAGGAACAGAGGGACAGGAAGTAACAAGACCTGGGTTGCAATGTGGATTCCTTATCTCCAGTATCTATTAGTTCTGGTTAGTGCCACTCAATGACATTCTCGTCTTGTTGAAACACGGAATGTCTTATCATCCTCCTTTATGAACAGGATGGAGTTCCCACAGGAGGCAGGGAAGCACAACAAACGAGAGCTCAGCTCTAGAGAATCGACATTCCAGCATCTCCCAGCTTAGCATGGATGGTAAGGAGCTTGCCCAAGTTCCTGATGTCGAGTGAGGATGCAGCCTTGTCCCCCACATGCTTGCTCTGGCTCCACTGTGTGAGTTCTGGAGGCAGAGAGCCTGACTGGAGTACCAGGGACTCCCAGAGACAGTCCCAGGCCATCAGCTCATCAGAACACACAAACAAGGACCCAGAAGAAGCACCTGAGGTCAGAAAAGATGCTGGGGATTCTGCAAGCCACTGCAGTCACCTTCACTACCTATCCCTGTGGCTGCAGAGACCACACCAGAAAAAGCAAAAGGCAGTCAGAGACCACAAAAGGCTGCAGGACGAGGCATGGGAAGTGCCAACAGAAAACGGCATGGCAGGGCTCTGGGCCCTACACCACCCACCCTCGAGCTGACCTACCTCCTTTCTTAAAAGTGACCAGACAGGTGAGGTATGTTTGAACCCCCATATCCAACAATCACTCTCCCTTTCCCCTGGTCCCCACCCAGATACCCCGAAACACTGAAGGAGTGTCCTGAGATGCTTCTCAGCCATTCTGCCCCTTCCTGGCCAGGAAAGCTTCTCCAGTGTGGTAGGGAACAGCGGCCAACATAAGAACCAAGCCCAGGGGAGACTCAGGGTCTCCCAACCCTTTCCCTCTGTGCCCTGTGAGGCCTTCCCTCCCATGCCCACGTGAAGCTTCCCTTCTTCCCCAAAGCCCTTACTCGAGCTCTCCTTCCACAGCTACAGAGGACAGGAGGCAGGAGTTGGGGGTGAGGGGGCACACAGGCACCCGGCTCCACGCCAGACAGCACTCACCCAGGGTCTTCCCACACTCACTCCTGCTCTGCCTGGAGAATGGAGAGATCTCACCCACTAAACCGTACAGGTTGGGCCTAGACGAGAGCATCTGCAACCGCACTCCTCAGAACAGCCAACACTGGAAAGAATTTGACTGCCTGTCAACAGCACACCTGCCAGATGTATTCATGCAGTGGAAATTACTCAGCAGGGAATGGACAAACCACTGCTCTACCTGACAGCATATCAGAAGATCATAAATGTAATGGTGAACAGAAAGGGCCAAACACAGTGACTCCCTTTATATTAACTATCAGAAGTAGACTGTCAGGGGAAAGGCAGTGATGGGAAAGAAAGGGAACTGATTATATGGCCATATTCACTTGTGGGAAACCCATCCAGCTGTCCTTATGATCTTCTGTACACATTGGGCTGAAGCACAAAAAACTACCATTTTTATAGGTTCAAAGAGGTCCAACATTATTAATTTCATATGGTTCAAGCTAATGTGCTTCAAAAGAAAGCTTTGGAAAATCAATAGAACAGCAAAAACAGAACAAACCCAAAAACCACAATCGTTGGACAGAAAGCAAGTCTCCTGAGGGTGGCCTTGAGGGCTCGCTCTGGCAGGTACGCTGGCTCCTGGCAAACAGGGTCTCTGTCTGCTCACTTCCACGTGCATTACCGTTCTTCGCAAGGGAACTGCTAAATCTGCGCTTCAACCTGTCCAGTTCCATCCCTTACGTCGACAGGCTTGAGTCCCCTTCTCCCCAGCCTACTAGTGGCTCTGCTCCGGGGTGCACCCTCTAATCTGCTGAGGCCACAACCAATCTGCTGATCAGAGCGAGAAGACCAAGAGCAACGGGGCTCTCACCACTCCCTCAGCTACACAGCGCCCACAGAGAAAGGCCTCCTCTTTCTCCTCGCGATCCAGATGCAACTGGGCTTTCCCTTGCTGCCCCCCTTCACTGGACGTCTGCCTCCTGCCCATTTTGCTTCTTCAACACAGCACTTCTTGGTGCTATCACCCAGCCCTGTGTCCCCCATCCACTCCTTTCTTTCCCCCCACTCCCTCTCTCCTCCTCAGGAGCCTCACCTCTGTCTTCTGCCTTGCCCTGCTCCACTTTTAAAGGACTTTTCAATATTTAGGGCTTCCATTTCCTCACCATGTACTTACTGCCCGAACAACCTATACTTTCACTTCTGCCACCATACACCATTCTACTCTAGCTCTTCAGGTGACCGGAAACTTCCCTAGTATCATCATCGTGGACAATTCTTATCCCTGTCTGCAGCAGCTAACACTGTTGACCACTCCCTCATGGTGGCCCTCCTCCCTTGTTGATGGCCCATCATGGGTTCCTCGGCTCTGGATTCTTTGGTCCTTCTACATTATCCCCAGAAGGGATGTGACCCACTTCCGTGTTGGCCCTCACCAGCATCTAGAAAATTCTTAGACTGGCATTTGCAGTCCAACCATTCTACTGAGTTCAACTGAATTCATCTTTTCTTACCCCAGCCGGCACTGCACTCATGTCTTAATTCAGTCTACGGAATCGTTCTGCATCCCTCAGGTTGGAAGTCAACCCTGACCCTTCCCATCCTTCATCCTATGTTGGCTGAGTCGTCACCTCCCTCTTGGACCACTGCACCCTCTGGGACCACAGCAGAAGTCTTGCTGGCCACCACATGGGATCTCTCCCCTTCAATCAATTACATGTTGTCACTAGACTAATTTTTCTAAGCCAGCACTTTCAAGATGAAACTTCCTGTCACCATCAGAATTAATGCTTAACTCCGGCTGATTTTCAGAACATTCCACACTTTGGTCCTCGCCAATCTTCCAGCCTCATTTCCTCAACACCATTCACAAGTATCCTGATGCAAATACTTCTCTTCTCCGGCATTTCCTCTCTGGGACAAGCCAACCCACACATGCTCAGAGCAAAAAGCTCTGGGACCAGCATGCACGTTTCCTTTTCTCCCGCACCCCTCAGCCAACATGCCGCAAGCTGCATCAAGTCTTCCCTGCAAAGGTATCTGGAATCTACATACCTCCCCCTGTCTCATTATCTCTCCACCATTAGGACATTCCATTGAATCCTCTTTCACCCGCTCTTGTCCCTCTGATTCCTTCACATAGCAGCCAGGTTGTGGTCTCAAATGTAAATCAAATCAGACCATTCACCTCCTTAAAAAGCTGCCTGTGGCTCCTCACTACTCTCCAAAAGAGCCCACAGCTCTGTCCATGGTCACTTGTGCAGCCTCGTGTCACTGGCCCTGCGCTCACCACGTCCAGTAGGTTGCCTTCCTCTATTTCTTCAAATGTCCCCTGCTGCTTTCAGCAGCTGGCCCTGTACCGACTTCGCTCCTTTGCCGGGAATGTGCTTTCCCAGAGTCATGTGGCTAACTCCTACTCATCCCTTGGGTCTCAGTTCAAGTGTCATTCTTTACAAAGACCTTTCGTTATCATATGCTGTGTATCTGTGAGTTTGTGTGTTTCCTGTCTGTCTGATAGAAGCGCCCAAGGAGCAGAGTCTGTCTGGCTCACCATAGTGTAACTAGTGTCTGGCAGAGGGCCTGGCAAACAGTGGTCTCGATCCATAAGCACAGATGAATAAGACACAATCTCTGCCCTCACCAGTGTCACTGACTGGTAAGGGGACAGATACATAACTAGTAAAATATAGGGAGAGAAATTCCAAAACAGTCACGTGAGAGATGAGCATGACATTCGTAGGTTAAGGGAGTGGTGACAAAGAGCTTTCATATGAACCACGTCAAGGAGAAAGAACTCAGAGAAGCAAACAGATGAAAGCTCACCCAAAGCCACGTTAGCCAGACCCAGAGTCAGTCACTGAAGGATTCTGAGGGGTAGGAAAACTCAGGGTAACACGAAAACAACCTTGGCCACCATGAGGAGGGTGGACTGTGCACATTTTTAACTCCAGGCTCTATTCTCAGTGTTTCCACTTCTCTGGTTTTACAAGCCCCACCACCTCCAGGTACCAAGCCACAGCGTTCTTTAACCGAGCTACTAACCGAGCTACGTGGGTGCAGAGCCTAGGCCACCTGAGGGCTTTTTTTTTTTTTTGGCTTTGATGTGTCTTTGCTCCCTCAGTAGACTTAAATTCCAAGGGCAGAGCCTGTGTGTCAGAACTCTGCTTCTCCTAATACAAAGCTTTAAGTATGAGCATCCTTGATAAATGCATTGTATAAAACAGTTCTGTTTGCAGAGTATTTAGGAATAGCCCCACCCCAGAGTCCCACAAACAGACGATGCAGGTCCTGTGGCCTCATGATGAATGGAAACCCTGCCCATGACGACACCCAGCCAAGAAAGGGAGTCCCTGTGCACTGTGACCTTCCCAGCCCCATTACCAAAGCCATCTCAGTGCTTGTGCGGTTGGTAATTCTCTGGTGGGAGGCACTGACAGATGAGTCCTGTGCACTGGGGCCAGCAGGGAGGTGCCCTCCTGCCTGTTCTAAGCCCCAGCAGAGCCCATGGGTCTATCTGCCAAATACGGGGTAGAGGAAGATGGGAAAGGAAGGCCAGCTGAAGAGGAGGCCAGCTGGCAGACACTGACTTCAATCCCACTGCTGCCACACCTTGTTGTCTGCCCAGAAAGGACAGAATGGTCAGGCCTAAGAGACCAAGGTCCCTGAGCCTGACTAGAGGGGGCAGCCTGAACAGCTAAAAGCCAGGAGGCAACCCTGAGGAGAATGAGCAGGCCAAGGATAGCAAGAGGCTTAGTCCTTCCGCAAAGAGAAGCAATACTGAGAAGTGAGCCCCAGGTCAGAGCTCACCCAGCAGGCAGCTTCTGACAGTGCAGGGCAAGGTCAGCCCTCAGCTTTTAACAAGCAAGAGACAAAATGCTTTTCTAGAACAAACAGCTGTTAGCAACACATTCAGGAGGGGGGACAGTAGCTCTTCACAGGGAGACTGCACAAATCTAGAGGCCTCTGCCCCCAACCCCCAGGGCCACTACCTGCTCGGGAGGTTGGCTTCAGTTCCAGGCTCTCCTGATCCGTGGCATCCAGGATCTTATACTTGCTTTTCCTCTTGGGTTTTCCTTTCTGCCTGAAAAACACAATCCCCATGGCCTCTCAAGAAGGGGGTTCTGTGTGAGAGTAGGGAGCTCACCACGTAGTGATGGCCAGACTACACAGAGGGCCCTGTCCCGGGGGCGCCGCCTAACGGGAGGACTGTTTTCCCTTGCTTCGCAGCTGCAGGAAGCTGACAACTCCGGTTTGTTCTTCAAGTAACACCTCACCGATCCTGGGAAACGAAGGTGACTCTGACTCTCTTACCATGGAGTCACCAACCACTCCACAGAGGTGAGGAAGGAGAAACTGGCTAACAACACAAATGTAATGGGGTACAAGCTTGACCTGCTCACCACACACAGACCAGTATGTCAAGGGGAAAGACGTCTGGGACAAGAAAAACGACTTTACTCAGAAAACTAGCAACCAAGGAGATAATGGACTCCTACCCCAAAGAACCATCTCCCCCCGCATGAGATTTGAGCTTTTCTATTAAGAAGAGGGGAAATGGGGGTCGAAAGGTGACTGATGCCTGCAGACATCCAAGGAAGGCTATGTAACTTCTCTGTTCTAGGTCGGTTGATATCTATAGGAATCTGATCATGTTCCAAACATAACACAGGCATATCTGAATGAACTTCCTTATCTCCTTGAGTGAAGTAGGTCTCAGATTTTAAAAAAGCAGTGTTTTGTTCATCTCAGCTGTAAGCAAAATTCCTTCATGACTAGTATGCCTACGTGCAGGGCCCAGCAGAAGTTTCTAAGCTGTAGGTCACAGCAAGCAAGGGAAAGAGGCAACATGGAGCCATGCACAGTTTCTCCCTATTATATTAAAAGAACAAAAACCCTGTGCTTGAGGGGTGGGGGAAAGCATTTATTAATGGTGGTTGTCTCAGGCTGGTGGGAATTATTAAAAATTTTCACTTTCTAGGTTTTATGTGAAGTTATAGTGCAGGTTCAGTCTCAGCTCTGTCACTTATTAACTGTGTGTCCATGGACAAGTGGGGCCGTTCTCCTGAGCCTCCCATTTCCTTAGCTGTAAGATGAGAAAAGGTTCTTATAAGCATTAAAAAAAAAAAGGTATTACCTACAAAATGTTATCATAGTGCCTGGCATACAGAAATATAGAAATCACTATTAATAACAACATATAATAAACATTCCCATTAAATATCATTAGGAAGACTCAAAACAAAACAAAAAACCCAGAACAATTAATCATGACTAATCTAAGTCTACAGTTATGTGAAAGCACGTAGACACGTGAATCCCAATGAGAAAGGAAGGGAAAAAAATTGAGAACTAGTGTCAAGTGATGAGACAGGGCTGGAAGAATACAGAACACACACCCTAGAGAGATGTGACTCAGGTCCACACTCCAGGCCCATCATGGCCATGGCCACGCTTCCCAGTTTGAGCATCAGTGCAGTGACAGCCACTTCATTGAGGGAGTGTGTTCCTGCCCTCAGGAGTGGCAGAGGGTGAGAAAAGCCTTTCTGCGCATGCCCTGGGTGGGCCAGACCACGTAAATGGCGACAGGAAGGGAGGAATCCCCAAGAATCAGCACCTTCCACGTGGGAAGTGCCAGATCTCCCTAATGAATGAATATATGTCTAGAAGCTCTAATGAATTTTCAAGGAGAATCCATCTTACCTCTTACAACAACAGATCACAGTCCAGGACAGGATTCCAAGGGCGACAACAATGACAAAGGAAGCAATGATAACATACAACACGCTCCACTCTGCCAAGAGAAACAAAATGGTGAGAGCTGTGAAGAGACAGGGTCCAGCAGGCCAGTTGGGCTGCCCCAGCCTCAGGCAGGTGGCCTTGCTCTGCAGAGAGGAATGTCCCCCATGGCCATCCAGGGAAGGTGAGACCTTGCAGTTGTAGGCAGCTGAAGCTTTCAATTTTGTGAATCATCCCTGCTGAGACCCTGGGGAAGTGTAGCAGGCTGTAAGGAGCTTTCCCAGAAGGAAAAGAACAGACGCTTGCAGGCTTCCACTAGGCTACTGCACAGAGACACCCCGAAAAGACGGGAGGCCTTGCAGCTGGTTTGATTTAGGCTGCAATTTGCAGTTGGTCTGATTTATTGGTTCTTTGTACAAGACAGCTTCATAGCTCTCCTCTAACCCTGAGCAGCATGGAGGAAGGAAGTAAAAGACCTCTGCAAACAGAAAATGTACAGAGTTCTTCTCCTCGCTTGCTCATCTGCCTCGGAAACACCAACACCCACCTGCTCGACTCAGAACTACACTCAGCGCCAAACCGGCTGGCACAGCGCCAGGCAGAAAACTCACCACAGTTGCTGTCTCCATCTCTCAACTGCACCTTGATGAAATTCTCCATCCAAAAAGGGTCACAAATACAGCGTTTGGTGAATGAGTCGCAGTGGCCATGGTCAGAACAGTTCAACTGGCATGCTGCAAAGTAGCAGAAAAGGGAAAAGGTCAACAGGAGTCAGAGCCAGACCGGCAGCTGCCAGTGCTCCTGCTCAGCGTCCCTGCTCTGTGGCCGGTGGGGAAATTCCTTGGAGACCCACCCCGAGAGCTTTTACAGCTCGGGCACCTTGCCCGTGATCATCGCCAGATGATCACGTCAGATAAAATTGGAGCAGTCAGGCCACCTGAAGACAGTTCCGGCCGTGTTTACTTATTGCTACTCTCCGCCGGCAGTACTTCATCTTTCGTGGCCCACAGACACCCTCTTCTTTGCAGCCATTTAATTGCCAAAATAAAATACATGGTATTACAAAGGAGAACAATTATATTGCATATGTTTTTTAAATATTTAAGGATATAAAATTTTAAGCTAGTTATATATGTGTCGTTATGAAAACATCAAGTAACAAGATTTAGAAGCAGGTCTAATAATTGTCATAATTTTGAAGTAGTGATGAGTAGTAATGGTATTTCATCAAGCAGTGTGCTATGAAGTTATCTGTGATTCCTAGTGCCTTAAAGTCACAGGTTCTGTTAATATTACTGGAGTTTGTTGCCCACCTTCATGATACAGGGAAATAATGAATTTCAGTTAGTGAAAATAAGGATGTCATTTTCTTCCCATTCCATCTCCTCGCCCCTCTGAACGCTGGCTGATAGGCCCATGGACCCCAGGTGAGAAACCTCTACAAGTCAGGACTCTTCCTTGACACTGGAGCTAAGCGATTATATCCGTGTTCCTCAAGAATAGGTGATGAAGCATGAGAACAGCAGGGCTGTGGAGAACTGTGGGCACTGGGCAGGCTTGTTTTCCCAGCTTCCCAGAATTACTCACTGACAGTATTGATTTCCAGGGCTCTGAATATCAGAAAGTCTGCTTTTTGTTTCCGCAGCTCATTCTTGAGCATCGCTGCCACCTCATGGCCTTTGAAGATCTGGTGGGGAGGCTCGTTTTGAACAAAAAATACCATCTTGGTGCTGCAGAGACATGCAACAGTATGAATGAGCTGAAGCCATCATCAACAATAGCAGTTGCTGCCATTTGCTAGGCACTTTGTGCCAGACACTGTGCGAAGTACTAGACGCATTCTCTCACAGCAGGCCAGTGAGAAAGGTGTTATCAGCGTCATCTCCATTTTACAGAGGACAACACTAGGGCTCAGAGGGGTTAAGTAACTTGCCCAAGGTCACACAGTTAATTATGGCAGAGCCAAATTCCAACCCTGGTATGTCTGATTCCAATACCTATGCTTTTAGAAATGCCCTAAGCTGTCCCAGCTAACAAGGGGACCCATTCCAAACAAGTAACTGGAGGTCAGGAAAATGGGGATTTGGTTACAATTACATCTCTGCTGTCAGCCTTTTAACAGCTAAAACTGTGGTGTGGTGCTGTTGGGTCTGTGCCCAGATTACCTGTAAGACAAACCACAATGCTCGGACAAATGTGTACTGTTGGATGGCATCAAAGTATTCACCGTGGGTCCGAACAGCCAAATGATCATTACTATGACAGCAACAAGAAAGGCCCTACATGGTGGTGTGGTTGGTGCAAAATTATGCTACCCCATGTCCAGAATCTGTTTGCTTTCTGTCAGCTTCTGTCCAAGGCAGGCCATGTTTTGATCTCACCTCAACGTGGGCACAAAGTCTGCTCTCTATGCCTTGGCCTTAAGAGGCCTTTTGCAGAGCCCCCTTGACGACTCCATCTCACAACCAAGCCTTCTCAATAAGTGGGTCACACTGGGCTGTAGGTGTACCCAACATATTAATCCCCTCAGCATACAGGGTGGCTGGCTCGGACCTGGAGGCCCCAGACCAGTTGCTTCCTGTATTAACAGCCTTGTATTTATCCCAGAGTGCCATACACATAGCATCACTGCCCATGTGTATTATGACATAAAAGTTTGGGAAGTGCTGTCATAAAAGACTTCATAAAGTCCACTACACAGTGAGACTAGGGTAGGGTATTATAAATTTCGGAATCAAGGGGCGCCTCGGTGGCTCAGTCGGTTAAGCGTCCGGCTTTGGCCCAGGTCATGACTCACTATTTGTGGGTTCGAGCCCTGCGTTGGGCTCTGTGCTGACAGCCAGCTCAGAGACTGGAGCCTGCTTCAGATTCTGTGTCTCCCTCTCTCTCTGACCCTCCTCTGCTCACATTGTCTGTCTCTCTCTCAGAAATAAATAAAACATTAAAAAAAATAAAAATTAAAAATTAAAAAAAAATAAAGAAATTTCAGAATCAAGACAGACCTTTGCCATAAAAGATATGTGTTCCATTTCTCATTATTTTCTCCCAATTACCTAATTCATGCTAACAGTTTCAATTTCTCTATATATACCAGTATTCTCCCAATTACCTAATTCATGCTAACCGTTTCAATTTCTCTATATATACCAGTAACCCTCAAATATTTATCTCCCCTCTCCTTGTCTTTCCAGAATGGCTACATCTACATCTGCAAAAGCTTGCTGGGACATGCACCCCATCCATATCTCTCATAGGTACCTCCAAAATAAACTTACAATAACCAACAATTGAGAACTCTCTGTGTGGTAGGGATATAAACATTCTCTTATTTAACTCTCAGTAACAATCCTAGAAAAGCATACTAGTGTTCGTACAAGTGGCAGGCTAGATCAGAGAGGGGCAGTACCTTGCCCATCGTCCCAGAGCAGACACTAATGGAGCAGGGCCTGAAAGCCAGGTCTGTCTGTCGTCAGCTCTTTCCCTCTATCATGCTTTCCCACTATCAGGGACTCCTTGCCTGCAAGCCTGTCCTCGTCTTGAATTCCTCAACTTGGCCAATCAGTCCAAGTCAGAAACCCAGAGCCACCCTGCTGCTTCTCTTCCTCATGCATCGTCTTCCAGATGCAGTGAGAGCAAGCGTGCTGAGAGGCAAACCCTTCCGTGACACGTCCAGCAGCGCTCTCGCTGATGTGCTTAGCACTGCTTCTGCCCAGCTGATCCCCACCAGTTTGGGTCAATCCAAGTAGCCACTTGCCCTGTTCCTGCTCCCAGGCTGCCAGCAGAAATTACAAAGAAAGTCCTGGGGCATCTGGGTGGTTTGGTTGATTGAGCATCTGACTTCAGCTCTGGTCATAATCCCAAGGTCTGTGAGTTCGAGCCCCGCGTCTGCCTATGTGCTGACAGCTCAGAGCCTGGAGCCTACATTAGATTCTGTGTCCTCCCCCCACTCTGCCCCTCCCCTGCTAGCACTCTGTCTCTCTCCCTCTCTCAAAAATAAAAACACTAAAAAAAAAAAAGTCTTATCATGCTCTGACCCAGTGAACCCTGTGTGTTAAATGCACGTGGAGAGCATGGGAGATTACAGGTGCCCAGACCTCACTCCAGACCAACTGAATCATAATCCCTGGGGATGAGCCTTGGGTAATGACACATTCATAAAAGCTCCAGGTGGTGCTAACATGTAGCTAGAATTGGGAGCCACCACTCTAACCTCATGTCTCTAACCTTGGCTGAGATCCCAATGCTGCTCAAAGCCAGCATCCTTTTTCTGGAGCTGCTGCTCCTAACCTTTACCATTTTCCTCAGGCTGCCCACCTCCTTCCCACCTCCTCAAAGCAGATGGCCTGGCCTCCACTTTCAGAGACAAAACCCAGGACAGTGGTATGAACGTTCTCGAATGCCATCCTGTCTACCTCTAAAATCCATAACAGCACATCTTCCCACCCTTCTTCCCATCTCCAGAGAAAGTGGCGCACCTTCTCTGCCCATGGCCAGTCCCTGAGACCTGCCTCCATTTGGAACCCACCTCCCCAGTCTCCACCTTCTATTTTTCTTCTGCACCTTCTCTGAGTCTATAAAAGTACTCAAGTATCTCCTGTCTTTAAAAGGTGTTCTTTTGATCTCTCTCCCATCTTATTTTCAGCACCAACCTCTTTAAAGAGTGTTCTGCTCACCATCTCTATATCCTCCAACCATGACGTGAATTTGCCCTATGCCCCCAACATCTAAGCAAAATGATCTCACTGTAGTTCTGACGATCTAATCATAAAGCCAAAACCTGTTCTGTGTCCTCACCATACCCTTCCTCTGTGGCATCTGAGTCCTTGCAGCCCCCAGCTGCCAGCCGCCTCTTTAACTTCCAGCAGACCATCCCCACCTGCTTTTTCACCCACTTCTCTACTACTGCTTCCTAGTTTCCTTTGCTGGCTTTTCTCTCCTTGCCTCATCTTTAAATACTGGGGTTCTCCAGAGCGCTGGACATTTCCCCCAGTGGGACTCATCTGGCTTTGATTCCTGCCTGTATGCAGTGATTCCCCATCTTTGGCTTTTCCTTCCACTCCAAGTTCCAGCCTGTACTTGCCACTGTCTGACGGAAACTCTCTCCATATAACCCATGAGACACCATAAATTCAACAGTCAAAACTGTTATTTTTTCTTTGAAACTGGTTCCTTCTGTATCCCTAATCTCAATTAATGGCATCTGCCATCTATCCAGACATCAAAACCTAAAGCCTCGTGTTTGATACCTCATTCCCCTTCATTCCAAAGGATCACCAAGTGCTACTGATCTACCTCTATTTTCTTTTCATTTCTCTCCTCTTCTGTCATTCCACTGGTACTACCTTAACTTAGGTTTTATCACCTTTATACTAAGACTAGTTCAAAAGCTTCCTGATTGGCTCCCCAGCCTTTAGTCTCTCCTTCCCTCCATCCCTCCATCTCTCTCTCTCTCTATTTTGGTCTAGCCTCCACATTATGGGTCTTCCTAAAAAACAAACAAACATCTAATTTCCTTGCTCCGAAAACAAAACAAAAACTTTACACACATAAAACAACCTAACTTGAAGCCTCCCCTTCCCAAACTATTAAAACTAAACTCCCTGACTTGCTTATGAGTGTTCTCCGTCTACACGGCCAGTCTTATCTTCCACCATGTCCTGTACCTAGTTAAGTGCTCTGAACCAAATGACTTCTTCCAGAGGGACCTCTATACTTTTATACCACAGGACCATGGCTCATACTTATCAGCTATTATGAATTTTCTCCTAGTCCTTCCATGCTTGCTCAGTGGAAGTCTTACTTCTGGGAAATCTTTGGATCACACCCTACCCCAGCTCCTCTGGAAGAATTAACTGGTCTTGTCTCTGTGTGTGTCTCCATAACACCCATTCTGTCAAATGCACCCTGTACTGATGTTACATGTTTATCTTGATTATTTTCCCTATGAGATTATGGCCTTCAAACATAACAGACCTCTTCTGACCGTGTACCCTGGTACCCTGTTACAATATCTAGTACAGACTATGTGACCTGTACCAGAAGAGAAAAGTTCATTAAAGAAATGGACACCAAGTAGTTCTTGGTCGGAGAGCCCACCCTTCTCTATCTACCCACACTATTTCTCAGCTCAGTCAATAAGCCCAGGGGGCCCCTGGTCTTTCCTTTTCTCCCCCCAATCATTGCCCAGCTACCTCTGCTCCGTGTACGGCTGAATCTTTTGCACAATGATGTCGGAATCCAGCACCCCCAGGAGGACCCCAATCTGGCGGATGAACATCCCCTTCAGCCTCTCAGTTAGCTGACTGACGTTGACATCCAAGATGATCTCCACCAGGTTGTTTTTCCTGGGATCTGGAAAGCATGTGGATCAGTCATGGCTTTGGAAGCAGCAGAGTTAACACAGACCTGCCACTGTGTGTCTGTTCTGGCACAGGAGAAAAAGTTGTGAAAGCATTCAGGAATGCAACTGACCTCCTGCAAATGGAAAGGGGCCATACTGAGTTGCTACTAATGTGGTCTGGGGCTGGCGTGCAGAGCTCTATACCAACCTGACAATTACCACGCGTGTGCTGGGGATCAGGCCATAACAGGGAGGCGAGGGGTTTGTTGAAGGGAGTGGGGAAGAAGAACACTTTGAGGTCCAATCTCAAAACTTCTGCCCAGCTGGCTAAGCTGAGCTCTCCAGGCCAAGGGGGGATATGTACAATCTCTCCTGTTCTGTGTCTGATTTTCAGTGCCTTGCTGTGCTTTGTCTATGGCATTGGGAGGGAAAATGTCCGTCTCAACAATCTTATCGATCATGGAAATGTTATATAGGTTTGAAAGCAGTAAACACAAAAAATTTCCAGGCAGCCAAGAAACAAGGACTTCCTTCGAGCATTATCACAGCTGCACAATATTTTTATAGCTCTGGAAGTGCGCGGCTACTGTCCTTCATTTCTGTGTCCTAGAGGCTGTGCTACACTTGGAAGTAAAGTGATTATTCAGAATACCTTATTCCCATAATTGGATGCATCATTTGCCTGTTCTGATGTATCACTTACATAATTATTAGACTATCTATGATCTGATTTTAAACACAGAAGAGGCTTTATACTATCTTGGCTGTTGTCCTCCATAGAGGTAGGACAAGGACTAGAAGACTTGCCAGACCCCTTCCCATCTAAGACATCTGTACATGAGCTTGGCCTATATAAACAAGAGTAGATTTAAAGTTAATACCTTCTTATCAGATGCTCAGGAATTTATAGAGCTCTACCCCACCCCACACTCACTTCCTCCCTAGTACAAAACTAGCCTCAAAGCAAAATAAAAATAAAGTTCTAGTGAAGAAAGAAATTTTATTTCTACAAATCTGAGAAATGTAAAGGATGCCAGTTACTTTACCTTCCCTGGATTGTCAGACAAAGCCTGAGGCTCAACTTATAAAAATAAATTGTTTTCTGCAGCTGGGTGATGAGGCATCATGACTCAAGTTATTCCTGCGCTCAGATTCCCGAAGCACCCAGAGCCCTCTCTCATATGTCACGTGGTGAGTAGGCAGTGCTGGACTAGGGGCACAAAGGCCTGGCTCTGACACAACTGCTGTGTGACGCTGAGCAAGCCCTGCCCTCTCTGAGTTTCTCCATCTGAGATGAGTTGGGGCATGGGGATCCACACTGACTCCTGCATGGGGAGGAGGGATACTGCTGCAACAGAGTCTCCCAGGCTTTTACAGCTTGGGGTTTCTGGAGTGTTTAGAAGCTGGCTTTGCCACTTGGCCCTGTCCTTGCTGGGAGGAAGGGGTCCCAGGACTGAGGTCCTGCTGGGCTGAGCCAGCAGTCCCACCCGGTCCCGGCTCCAGATGAACTCACCAGGCTTCACCTCCACGGTGGTCCGGTCTGTGTCACTCTCCCCCTTCGCATCAGTCACATGCAGGTGAAATGTGTAGGTGCCCTCAACCAGGTTGGAAAGAAAGAGGATCGGGTGGTGGTCAGAGTGATTTAGCACCTCCTATGGAGTTGAACAACATGGCTACATTGCACAGCAAGACCACATTCCTTTCATGGGGTCAGGTACTGCTTCTGTAGGACTAAGCCCCCTCTGGGCAGCTTCTGCTTTATAACAGCTCTGAAGCCCACAGCTGCCGAGAATAGGGCAAAGGAACATACTCCGTGCCATATTAACATGCAGGGTGACCCCAGGCAAGTCATCCAGGATCCTTGGATTTCAGAGGGCAATCCAGGTTTGACACAAGGCCCCTTGGTTAAAACATGCTGGAATGTTTGGCTCAGCCTCCTCTCCCTGTCTCACCACCTTGACCCCATATAGCTCTCTAGTTCCTGGCACTTACCCCTGCCGCTGGGCTCCCCTCATCTCGGGTCCAGAGGTAGCTGACTATTCCCTTATCATCTGAGGACTTGGAGCCATCCAGCTCTGCTGTGTCCGTGGGCAAGGTAATCACCACACTCCCAGTTATCTTGGCTACAGGTGGTTTGTTCATTTCTAACCAAAGAGACATCAATGAAATAACATAATATTCTGGAAAAGAAAGAATGCTTCTTCATGATGCTAATGGGGAAATTAATATCAAAAGCATTTTAAGGGGTGCCTGGGTGGCTTAGTTGGTTAGGCATCTGACTACTGGTTTCAGCTCAGGTCATAATTTCATGGTTCGTGAGATGGAGCCCCGTGTTGAGCCCATCGTGGAGTCTGCCTGGGATTCTCTCTCTGTCTTTTTCTGCCCCTCCCCATTCATGCTCTCTCTCTCAAGATAAATAAACTTATTAAAAAAAAAAAAAAAGCATCTTAAATGGAGAACTGTTTTAAGCGCCGATCCACACCAGCATCTAACAGTGTAGAATTTTCTGACAGTAAACCAACTTTTAGTTAGTTGGGGGTTAGGACTCAGTGAAGACCAGGTTTCAGTTCCCCTCTCTCCAAGCTAAATAAAACCCAGGCAGGGCCGGGGAGCTCATGACTAACAGTATAAATCTGAAGCCACCAGTGTCACAGGTCCTGAGGCTCCAGTCCTGTCCAGAGCGACGTTCTTCTGAGACACCGTACTACAGAGGGGACAAGCATAGTTTTCTCCTGTGTCCTCCTAGCTGCTTCCCCCGGAAGGATTTCGTCTCTTTGCTTGGGAAGCACATGATGATTGGAAACAAAGGCCCAAACTGGTTTAAAGCCTTGGAGGTTAGCTTTCATGCAGCTGATACCACAAATTCTCTTTACAGTATGGCCTGAAATGTTATTCTCTGGACATCTTCTTTTATTCTTTCCTTATAGAGAAAAAGGAAAAAGAGATCTCTCTTCTCCTGGACTCCTCTGCAGCTCTGTCTACTCAGGTATATATTCTCTATCTACTGAGCTCAGGATACTGTAGCCAGAGGCCACCTGTGCATCTCCCATCAGCTTACAGCCCTCTCCCAAGGCCATCATAGGTCACGTGCCTGCAAACGCGGCAAGCCAATCAATTCTCACCTCACGTTGGCCTCAGCGGGCTCACAGGAGGAGCAGAGCAAACTACAGTGCAGGCCAGTCATTCTAAGGTCTGACAGCAGGTGTCACTGCAGCTAGCAGGAGAGCCACAGAAACCCCAGGTCTCAGCAGCAGAGGCAAAATAAAAATGCAAAGAAAAAAAACCTAATTCTTTCCCTATTCAATTGACAAGGGGGCGGGGGAGACAAGAAGTTAAAATTCACCTTCCAGGCACTCCCAATTAAAGGTTCTTTTAGAAAAGCATGTAACAGGAGCCCCCGGGGGGCTCAGTTGGTTAAGCGTCCAACATCAGCTCAGGTCATGATCTCGTGGTTCAGGAGTTTGAGTACCACATTGGGCTCTCTGCTGTCAGCACAGAGCCTGCTTTGGATCCTCTGTCTCCCTCTCTGTCTCTGCTCCTCCTCCCCCATCTCTCTCTCAAAAATAAATAAACATTTTTTTTTAAAAATGCATAAAATTGCCCTTTTCCCCCAACTTATCCCCAACCCTTGTCTCTAATCAATTTCTGCAGACAAAAAAGAGATGCCTGATTCCTCAGTTATCTGACCCAGAGGCTGCACCAACCCAAGACAGGGAGGTACCTTCTTTGACAATGACATTCACAGAACTCTGGCTTCGCAGGTTCCTCTCATCTTTGACAGTCAAGGTGAACACGTAGGCTCCTACTTGTAGCCCTGTCACAGTGGCGACACTGCTGTTAGCATTCTCGAGCTGCACCCCGTCGGGTCCCCTGGACAAAGATGGAAACCAAAGGGTCTGCTGTCCTCCCATCCCTTACACAGCAGGAGCAGACAATGACTGCCTCAGCCAATGCACAAACTATTGTTTCCCAGACCTCGTGAGGACATGTTTAAAAATATTACATTTGGACAGAGTGTCATTTGGCCCCAAAATACAGCTACCTGCTGATCAGAAAATTCCATTCACCAGCTTTCAAACACATCTAGCCTTATCCTTTTTATGAGTTTCTAGAACATTCAAACGCTTGGCTGTTCCAGTTTGTAAAAGGAAGAAAGTGCTCTGAGCAGGTCCCTGATCAAAAGAATGATTTCAGAGTGATGTTTCTGAAAAGCATTTCTGGCCCAGTAGTTGGTTCAGCTCTTGCCAGCAAAGAAGCAAAATGCGTTTCTTAATCATATGCCAAACTCCCTCCTACTGAAAAGTCAAGGAAAGGAAATGGGCCAAAGCTGCAGAGGAACTCTCAGCAAAACCATCCTCTTCTTAGCAGCTCTAAAGCAGAGCTCCCTGCAGCTCCCGGACAGGGGCCCCGGAGGCCCCAGGACACCCTGCATCGTTCCTTCTCCCCTGTGGCCTCACACAGCAGCCTGCAGCCGAGAGTGAGCTCTGTGGCAACATCCAGGCACAAGTCTGCACATACCAGAGAGCCCTTCTGCTCAAGGAGCAGAACACCCCAGAGCTTTGTTTAAAATTACAAGATGACCAGAGCAATCTACAGTCTTCCAGGTTTTTGCTTTATTTTGGTGTTTAAACATATAATCTTTGGCCCTAGTCGTCCCTCTTGAAACAGACTCTCCAAGAAGCTATGCTAAGCACTACTTCTGCTGTAGGGACTGGTAAAACTCAAATGAAGGTTTATTAGCTATAAAAAGTTATGATGCAAACACACCGGACTGAGAAAATAGGTTCTTCACAAGAGACAAGAGCCGAGGAAAATTTTCTAGACTCCAGCTCACCAATTTAAAGTCCAGTGGTTTCTACAGTCAAATTATAGTCCCTTCCCACCCATTTTGAATGCCCTAGTCAAAAACAAAAACAAAACAAAAAACTCAGTCTGTCCTTAGTTGCTACCTTTAGAAGCTAAGAATGCTTTTTAACTCTTCCTTGGAATTCCTTTGCTTCCTGTGGGATCCTGCATACAATCTGAGTTCCATTTGTTATGGTTTAAAGGAGCTGAAAGAAACTGTGAGGACCAGGAATGGTTCGATTAGGTAATTCCAGCTTAATTACTATTATTTTGGTTAGTGCCTTTGGCCTCTTACTAACATAATTGGTAAATGGTGTCTTTAAGGAAACAATAAGAGAGTAATGCTTTCATTGTGCAGATGAATTTTCAGTTCTCTTTAATAGCTGCTCTGCCCCATCCCCACTGCCAGCCTTACCCAGTTAATTTTGAGCAAAAGTATTTTTCTGCTCCATTACCCCTTCCATCCTGCCTCTCAAGTGTAATTAAACTATGCATTTCGACAGATGGATTATACCTGTAAAAGCTCCAGGACCATAAAGTACTAACCGGGGACTGGCTGATGAAAAGTATGTTTTTTTTTTCTTACAAAAATTATATCATTTTCTTAAGAGTCAAAGTTTGGGATTGCTTACATTTCTTTCTCAGTCACTGCCCCGCCCCCCTCTCCCCCTGGGATAAGCCAGTAAGAGCAAGTGAACTCTTTAAAAGCAAGTGACATCTTGCTCTTCAAAGGTCTGGAGACTGCATAAATAAGGGTTTTGTGTCAATACTCACTGTGTTTTCTCCCAGAGATAGGAGATAATTTTCTGATCATCTGAGCTTTTGCTGCCATCCAGGGTTGTGCTGTCCACAGGAAGGGTCAGCTCTTTATCCGGGCCTGCATCTGCTTGTGGAGGCTTGTTGTTTTCTAGAAAACAGAGACACAGAGGTCAAAAGCAGGCAGTCTAGCTGGGAAAGGAGAGGACCTACCAGGACATATGTTCTGGAAGCCATGAGGAGTCTGCCTCTCTGCCCAAGGAACAATCAGATACTGTGGGTCAGGGAGCTCACGATGAAGAATATAAGACTGAAACATATAGAACCATTTTGAAAGAACATGGCAGAACATAATGAACTTGTAATGCCATGCCAAATTTGAAATGTAATGCTATGGGAGTCCAAATGAAAGAGTCTGAGTGATAAGGTAGGGCTTTCTTGAGGAAGTAGGCTTTAAGCTCTCCCTTATGGTGCATGGTAGGTTTGGAAATAACAGAGATTTATCTCCTAGGTCCCCTCGAAGGCACGATGACTAGCCAAGGGCAAGCGCACAAGCTGAAGCTGTGAAGTACTCTTTCTCTCTAGCTCTGAAGAAAGCACTCGGAATGGACAAGCGAAGGTGCCAGGGTCCCCATGGACTGGGGCCTCCCACTACCACTGTGTAGCTCAGAACCCAAACCTTCTTCTCCTCTATGGTTCAAAGGACCAGCCAACAGAGGAGCCTGCACTATAAGGTTGGAACTTACCAGGCTGCACAATAACAGTCACTTGAGCGGTGGCCTGCTGTCCTATCGTGTCAGTCACTGTGAGCTGGTAAGTGTAGTCTCCTTCTTGCATGGCAGAGAGCTGCAGGGTTGGTGTTCTCACACCCTGCACGTATAAATACAGACAAGTGGAAAAGCCGACTCCCAGAATCACATCATACAGTAAGTCCTGTGGTCTAAATGATGCAACCAGTTCTCTAAAGCTAGTGAGTGCAGAATCACACACTGTGGGGCATCCTGTTGAAAATAAAAGGCTCCTGCCTCAAGGGAAAAACCTTCCCTGACAGCAGCACTTTCAAATAAAGTCAGAGCTCCCCCCAGGGAGAAGGGAGTACAGGAAACTGTGCACAGATAACCAAGATCATCAGTCTTTACAACCCAAGCCAGAAAGAAGGCCATGAGCATATAATAAAACAACATGCTTTCAAAGCCATGTTCTTCCTGCTGAGGCCACTCAGTCATCAGAACAAAGCTGCCCCAGTAAAACATGGTAACTCAAGATGCAATGCAATGCCATGCTGTCCCCTTGCAGGTTCATGCATATTCTGCAGTAGCAGAGAAATTAAACATAGTATCTAAACAAAAGCCAGGTAAAATGTGAACTTTAAGTCATGCCTCCGATTTGGAAACACAGTGTCAGAAGGAACATTATACTCAATTTAGAGCAATGCAGGAACTTCCTCTGGAAGAGTGGGCAAAACCTGGCAGCCTCGAGGCTGAATCCAGCTTGCAGACGTTGTGTTTGGCCTGCAATGTCTTAGAAGTTGGAATTTTTTTTTTCATTTCTTTGAAGATTTTATTTTTAAGCAATCTGTACACTGAATGTGGGGCTCAAACTTACATCCCCAAGACCAAGAGTCACATGCTCCACTGACTGAGCCAGTCAGGTGCCCTGGAAGTTGGAAATTCTCACATAAAGGTCTAGAATTCCATTTTCTCTTGAAAAGCTGGAATTTATTGGACCATATTTCCATGTGGCAACAACCAGCTGGACCCGAGGCACAGCTGGCTGCCTCAGTCAGAGATTATGTTGTATGGTTCACCACAGGCCCTATTCAGTTTTATTTATTTACATTACCTGCCTCTTGACAGATCTAGTCTCTTCCTAAATATCTCCTGAGAGAAGATGCTCACCATCTAGCTAGGCAGGCTACTCCAATCTGTGGTAGAGCTCATTAAGACCTGTACCCTTGTAGCTTCAGAGTAGACTGACTCTGGAATTGTTCTAGAATAGCTCCCCCTTTGTCATCTCATCTTTTCCTCTAATACTAAACACTAAAGACAAAGGTTTTGCTATGTGTTCATTAAAGGCCCCTTAAATTTTCTAGGTTTTTTTTTTTTTTTAATTCCAACCTTCAATGTTCTATATAAATCTGACGTTGGTAATTACAATGGGGCAAAAATAAGCCTCGGAAGGGCAGCCAGCCTAGCAGCTCTGACTCCCCTGGGCAAGAGAAGACAGAAGGTGCTCCCTCCTACCTGCATCTCCACCACCTTCCCCTTGCTGCTTGGGCTGAGTGACCACTCATAGCTGGTGATGCCATGATCATCGGTGCTCTGGTTCCCAAAGAGGGTGATGGAGTTTTGGGGCAGGGTGATCACTTGGTTGGGGCCCGCATTGGCCACAGGGGGATAATCCACGGCTTTGTTCACTGTCAGGCTCGCAGTAGTAGAGTTGGTCGCTCCATCAGAGTCTACTACAGTCAAGCTATCAGGGCAGAGAAATCAGTGCAGTCAGGGATGGGCTTAAGGAAGAGGAATGTATCTGAGAAGACTGAAAATTGAGGGTAAGAAACACCAAGGCAGCAGAGGTAACAAATGGTAACAATTCTTTATCCATTCTTCTTGGAAAGGCAAAATAATACTAAATGCTAAGACTGGCTGAGTGCCAGGCACTGTTCCAGGTGCTTTCTATCTCACTAAATCCTCACAAAAGCTCTATAATGTACTATCTTCATTTTACTCCTCATATAGACAAGGAGACGGAGGCAGAGAGACTTAACTTGCCCAAGCTTAAAGTAGTAGAGTCAGGACCTGAATCCAGGCAATATGTCGCCAGCACTGTTTTGGCCCACTGGTCGCACTGTGGGCTCTGTCTGTGTGCTCAGGCCTTCATGAGCATTGTCTGGTCTGGCCCACACAACAACTGTATAAAGCAGGCATCCTCAATCTCACCTGACAGGAAGCTGAGAGAGGCTGAGTCACCTGCCCAGGGCTACAGAGTGAGCCAAGGGGCAAGCCCAGTTCTCTGTCTCCAAAGCCCAGAAGCCAAGCTTTAAGAAGAGACAATCCCTGGCCTCTGAAGCTGTGGGGCTCAGAGGCGTCCCACTAAGTACAGCAAGCTGTGACTAAGGCCCCTCTCCTGCCATCCTGCTCCAGCCGTGCACACATCACAAGAAGGGGTGCCCTGGGCAGATAGCCCCAAAGATGGACCAGGAGGGCTGTCTCTGTAAGACAGGCGCCCGAGATGCAAATGAATTCTCCTACGCGACAGCCCCACAGTTTGTGCCAGTGTGAAATAGGATTTGCAAGAGAAAAAAAATGTTCATTTATAAGAGCAGGCTTTTACCTAAATGATGCCTTCCAGCTGAACAGCCTAAAGCTTCTCTTGCCACCTCCCAATGTGAGCATAAGCAAGCAAGGAGGTTTGGGTTCCTTCCATTTTGCTGACAGAAAGAGGAAAAGCATCGAAAAGACATGTCGTTTGTTTAAATCTCACCGCCAGCCACAGACAGGGCCAGACACCTGTGGGGCTACGTCCTCCAGCCTCACCTTCTACCCAAGGCCTGAAGGAGAGTTTTGGTATTAGAGCTTTTAGAAGAAGAACACAAAAACATCAGACACACAGACATGTGCAAATCAGCAAACATCTCAAAAAAGAAAAATCCACAGAATCTTTCCTCTTTTTCCAGTTTCCCTCTTGTTTTCACAATTTTTTGTTTCTGGGTTTTTTGTTTTTTTTTAAACATATCCTATTTGTCTCCTATTTCAGAACAAAAGAAAGTTACAGACAAATGGCAAATGGCAGCTACCCATTACTCTTTCATCTCAAACAGTCCAGGGCTTGTATGCAAGAATCCTGGACCCAATGAGCAGCTAACTACAGGGTTGAGGAAAGAGGCCACTGCCATATGAACGTAGGGGAGAAGGAAAGGTGAGTGGAACCAAACAAACTGGATCTTAATGCTAATCAAATCCTCATCACTTCACAGGAGAGTTAGAAAAAAAAGAATCACCCTCAATAACGCATCCACCCAAATACTGTGGTTAAAAGTGCAGACCCAAGTCATTCTGCCTATGTGACCCTGGGCAACTTATTTAACCTCTCTGTGCCTAAATTTCTTTATTTTATTTTATTTTATTAATGTTTTCTTTATTTCTGAGAGAGAGAGAGACAGACAGACAGACAGACAGACAGACAGACAGACAGACAGCGTGAGCAGGGGAGGGTCAGAGAAAGAGGGAGACACAGAATCTGAAACAGGCTCCAGGCTCTGAGCTAGCTGTCAGCACAGAGCCCGACACAGGGCTCGAACCCACGAACCGTGAGATCATGACCAGAGCCAAAGTCCGACTCTTAACCAACGCGTGCCCCCTAAATTTCTTAATCTACAAAATAATAGCAAATACTTGCTATAAGGATTAAATGAGCTACTGCATACAAAGAGCTCAGAATAGCACTAAACACATAATAAATGTTCAAGAAATAGTAGCTATTATTAATTTTTTAAAAAAGATCAACCTGGGGCGCCCGGGTGGCTTAGTCGGTTAAGCGTCCGACTTTCGCCCAGGTCATGATCTCGCGGTTCGTGGGTTCGAGCCCCGCGTCGGGCTCTGTGCTGACTGCCAGCTCAGAGCCTGGAGCCTATTTCAGAGTCTGTGTCTCCCTCTCTCTCTGACCCTCCCCTGCTCACGCTGTCTCTCTCGCTCTCCTAGAAATAATAAAAAAAAAAAAAAACATTTAAAAAAGATCAACCTGGCCCAAGCTAAATTTCATAAATGGTAAAGCTCCTATACTAGAAATCTAAGGTAAAAACCAACTCACATTTTCATTTTAAGCCAATGAGAAGGTTCCAACCTTGTTGAATGGCAGCTGCCTTTCATTCACCTGAAGTCTTGAGTCAATGAGACTGCTAAGTCCTCTTTATTTACATGGCAGGTGTTGTGCTAGGACATTTATCACTGTGTCTCTGGTAGCGTGTAAACCAGACTCATCGCAGATCCAGTGGGAAGACAGACACCATGAATGAACTATTGCCCCATGGCAGGTGCCACATAGAGGCACCAAGTGCAACAGTTCCAGGGAGAGACGTATTCTCTCCTCTCGGAGGAGTCTCAGGACTCACAGAAAACTGAGCAGGTTGTTAAGGATGGGCAGAACTCCAATAGATTGAGAAGAGCATTCAAGGAAGCATAAACAAAATATGTATGGGTAAAGTCAGGGAGTGCAACAGAATGAGCCCTGACCTGAGGGTTAGAGAGCCTAGCTGAAACGTGTGACCCCAGAGAAGTTAGTAAATACAATGGGCTTCATTTTTCTCAGATGTAAAATGAGGATGGTATCATATACATACGGTGTTCGTATGATACTCACATACAAGTGCATTGTAACATACAAGGAGTTTCACAAACATAAAGTCATCCTCAGACTCTTATTAATCACATCCTACAAAGTCAACACTAGTTCCCAGGACTATCTTTGAATCAAATTCTCTAAACACGCCCCAAGAGACACATATCCTAGAAATTACATTGAAATAAACACACTAGTCAAAAGTAAAGATCTTGAGATCTCGTAAGTTGAGGAAGCATTTACCAAAGGGAAGAGACAAGATAGGAGTAGGTAGGCTCCTTCTAGATTTTTTCTGAGAAAAGGCAAAGGAAGATGGGCGCTTGCATTTAATGGCAGAAATCCTTAAAAAAATGTTTGGAGATGTGCCAGGTGCAGCTTTGAGAAGGGCTAACTGTGGTGGGTCCTAATCTACTATGCAAGGACATTTACCCTAAAAACTTATCATTGGTGTGACCACAATCACCACAAGATGCAGAGAACTAATGGAGCCGAAGGCTGTATCATCAACTAAATCTACAATGACTTTGATATCTATTGGAGTTAACTCCTGGAGGAACATAAAACCCACAAGGGAAACAGAGCCTACGGAAAAACACAGCCTAAGGTAAACTTGAAGGATCCTAATTTACCTGAAAGTGTAGTTTCCAGGGACGAGCTTACTTAGTTTTAATATGGCCGTATCTTCAGAAATCTTCTCTTCTCTCAGAGGTCCCTTAAGTTCTTCCCAATGGTATTGGACGATTTTATCATCATCAGTGCTTTCTTTGACCATAAAGAAACATCAGTTACAACATGAAAGCACTCGGTCTCAGCATTTATCCAGCTTACACAAACCAGGGCAACTACCCAGAGACATGAGGCTAGGAAAACTACATGAAATTACAAACTCTCTCCAGAGTGTTTCTTCCCTAGGAATATTGGGTCATTCTGCCTCTCTATGAATATTCCACTGTGTGGTTTTCCAAAGACTCCAATACAGGCAACCTCTGGTTAAAATGCCACTGTATGAAAAAAGGAAAATCAAAAATTCTTAAACATGTCAAAAGATACTCAACCTCACTTAAAATAAGAGAAATGGAAATTTAAATTACACTTCAAGTACTATTTTTTTAACCTATCCGATGGGTGAAAACCAAAGTTTCATAACACATATTATGGGTAAAGGTGTGGGGCAAGGCCCTCTCGCAAGTCATAGTGGACTTATGAGATACACCCTCCATAAAGAGCAATTTAGCAAAACTTATCTTTGCCCCTGCAGTTCCTCTTTGAGGAATCTATCCTTCAGGTATATTTGCACATGTGTTAAATGTCACGCTTACAAGATTATTCATGGCAATGTTCTCTGTATTAGCAAAAGACCAAAAATAACCTTACAGTCATCAACAGAGATTGAATGAAAACAAGTATATAGTCATACAATGACATTATACAGCCATGTAATGGAAGGCTATGTAATCATTAAGAGAAAAATAAATGAAACACTATTTCATGTACTGACACAGAAAAATTCTCCAACCTAGAAAAACAAACATTGTACACAGAATGTGTGTTATGTGTCATCATCAAGACTGTATATGTATTTTCTTACATATGCATAGAATGCCTCTAGAAAGACCATCAAATACCACTGACAGTCTGGAGAAAAACTGGATAGTTGGGAGACAGGAATGATAGTGACTCTTCTCTTTATGCTTTTACTATTTAACACTGACCTATTCAAAAATATAAAGTAAAATGGTACTATGTGAACCCTCTGTACTGCTCTCACAAGTGCTTCTTCTGGTTCTCCCTTCCCTCTTGGCCTGCTATTCTTCTACCCTCCTCTTCTTGCCAGTAACATAAATGAGATGTTTAACCTTGCTACAGATTCCTCTGCTGGGGCTATGACAGCATCTGCCAAAAAGCACTGTGGGTGCTGAGACAATCAGGGTAATGGGGCCTTAAGAGGTCTCCAAGGAAACCAAGCAAACTCTGGTGAGATGACAGGCCTGAAACCTCCTTCACACGCAGCCCAGATGAGTGGCAGAGATCCCGAGGTCTTCTCATGTCACCCATCTGGGGACACAACTCTGAAGGGCACAAGGTTAACAAGCCCGGCCGGGGCATGGAGCACGTTCTGTGAGCCTCTCCAGGAGGAGGCTGACAAGAACCTTGTTAGGCGGTGAGGGCTGGGGGAGAGCTCCGCAGTCAAGACCCGCAGTTACTTATCTTGCTAGGAGAGGAAGGAGCTTTGTTTCCATAGATGAGAATGGAGACTCTATCTAAGCAAATTTGAAAACCAGCAAGTTTTATACTAAAATAATGCTAAGTATATGCATCATTCAACTTTCTTACCATCTCAAGAGAGCAGAAATATTACTTCAAACAAACCACATGGGGATTTTAAATGGGGTTTGTCTTGTTTTTTACTTCCTAATCATTTGCTTGAGATGGGTAGTATTCCTATAACACGGTCAAGAAGATTGGCCTACACAGAACGCAGACAGTTGGCCCTGAATCTTCTACCAGACTTTTCTATCACAATCCACAGTGAATGCCTTTCTAAAACATCATGCCTCGACAAATACTCACGGCTGCCATCAATGACTGTAGAAGTGGTCGGCAGAGAGATCTCCTGGAACTGTGGGGACACAATGGCAACGGGAGGCCGATTCTTACGAGGTTCTGCAGGAAAATGACCCAGAAGAAATTGGAGGAGGGGCTTTATAAATTAGAGGAGGATCAGGCCTGTGTGCTTGGATTATAAGTCAGCTTCCATTACAAAACTGACTTATTGCTTGCAGCATTACCAAATGGGAAAGTCACAAGACCAGGCTGCCGTTCTACCATAAGATACCTGGAGTGTTCAAGCCTCTTCCAAGCCTGACCGCCCCTACAACCATGCCTTGTGGACACTTTCAATGCTCGTGTGCTGTCTTGTTCATGAAAAGTACTACAGCAGCACAAGCTGAGTAGAGGCGGACAACAAGCTTTGTGCAACAAAGGCCTCAGCAAGCAAACCATCCCTTGGCACCGTCTGTGCTGAAAAGACAACAGGGGATTTCTCAACCATCCCTGAGCTGATCGTTTGTGAGGTGATTAGCCCTGAGTGATGGGAGGGTCACAAACCACTCTGTCCACCCAAGTGACTGTGAGCTACAAACCCGGGGGCCTTTTCTTTGAGAAATAATCGACAGTCTTGATGTTAAACACATTTTGAAGAAAGTAAAAGGATTACCTTGGCTACAAAGTTCAAGAAACAAACAGAAGATCTATTACCAACAAGGAAAAGAGTATTAAGACTTTGTGCCAATGCATGTGCCATTTTCCAACTTCCCCCAAATTTCCCTAAATATGCAAAACAAGATACTTTGCTACTGCACTGTAATTTACCAATGGTGGATCACTTAAAAAGAATGATGGAATTTGGTTTCCAAGGTGAAAGAAGACTGGCAAGGTTTAAATGAGGAATTTTGTATGCAAAATCCATATCTGGAAAGAGATCAAAAACAGCCAGCCATTTGGCTGATTCTCCTTCTACATACTTCTCCCAAGCTCCTGGCTTTCTTGTGTCTCTTAATCACAACACATGGTCCTCTCTCAGCATGACCTACTTGGAGAAGAAGTTCTCAGACAGACAGGCTATTGCTCAGGCCATACTGTGCTGGGGGCCACGTGACTACCGTTTCTCTGCCCAGCCAAATGTTCCAACTAGAACCAAAGTATATACTCTGCCACCTTAATCTTTTACTACATTGAACTAGGAATTGCCCAGTGAACATATTTAAAAAAAAAAAAAAGGGAATTAAAAACCCCTCAAGTCAAATCTTCCCATCTTTGGGGATCCTGCAGAGGGAGCAACGGAGACTCAGCCAGGGCTCGGAAACACATACCTGGTTTTACTGTTACATTCACATAGCCTTCCCCGTGGCTATTTTGACCATCTACAATCACTCTGAATTCATACAGGCCTGGAGTAAGCTGCAGAAGTGAGAGAAGATCTCTTAGACAACCACAAAGAACAGCAATTCTATATAAAATAATACATATATCTGAAATTTCCATGCTGATACTGCACTCTCTTTTTGCACTGTTTCCAAAATGGAGAAAGTAAACTAGTTGAGGAGAAGAAACAATGAATTATAAACTAAAGAACCATAGCTTCTAATGTGAATCTTATTACTAGCTGACTCTAGAACAACAAAAGGGAATTCAGTATCTCTATACTCCCATTTTCTTTTCAGAAGAACATTAAGGGCCCAACAATCCTATTTCACAGAGTTATGAAATTAAAATAATCATCTGTACAAAGAAAACCATTTTGTAAAAATACCAAATAGCTCCCAAATATCTGAATATTTTTCCCTCTTGATTTCTACTAACTGTATAAACATAAAATTAAAATAAGGAAAATCACCCACATTCCCACTGTCCTAACACATCAGGTAAACATATATCTCCTCTTTCCATCCTTGACCACATACAAAAAAATAGTTTTTAAGTAGTTTATTTGTTCAGCAAACATTTATTGAGAAACCAATTATGTACTGGACATTACCCTACGCTTGGGGTTTGGAGATGAGTAAGATAAGATCACTACCTTTAAGGAACGGGACTTTCAGGGTCCAGTTAAAATCAAGGTGTGCATGAAGCGTTTTTGTTATTTTTATTTCATGTCTTTTATTAACCCATATATAATTCCTTGTCTTCCAGATTATTGAAGCAATAGGTCAGACAACATTTACCACAATAATGCCAGTCAAAATGGCTAGTGATGAAAACTCCAGCACCACATTCATCTGAAGGGCACTCCAGATGAAGGTGATTAATCTTGCCATTCTCAGGCACCTTATGGTATTTCAGGACCTTCTTTCTCTTATGCTTATTCTTCTTGGGAGTGGTGTTAAGACTTCTAATTTCTTTCTTTTCCTTTCCTTTCCTTTCTTTTCCTTCTTTCCTTCCTTCCTTCTTTCTTTCTCTCTCTTTCTTTCTTTCTTTCTTTCTTTCTTTCTTTCTTTTTTAAGGTTTATTTATTTTTGAGAGAGAGAAAGAGAGAGTATGAGGAGCAGGGGAAGGGCAGAGACAGAGAGGGAGACAGAGAATCCTAAGCAGACTCTGCACTGTCAGCACAGAGCTGATGCAGGGCTTGATCCCACAAACCGAAGATCATGACCTGAGCTGAAATCAAGAATCAGACACTTAATCTACTGAGCCACCCAGGCTTCCCTCTTCTTCCTTTTCTCAGCACTACCACAAAGTCGCAACAGAAAATGAAGAGTGGACTCCTTTTGGATGCTGCAGTCAAACAAAGTATGACCATCTTCCAGTTGCTTGCCAGAGAAGATCAGTCTCTGCTGAGCAGAAGGAATTTCTTCCTTATCCTGAATCTTGGCCTTTATATTTTCTATTGTATCTGAGAGTTCAACTTTGAGAGTGACGGTCTTCCTCATATGGATTTTCCTGAAAATCTGCAACTTGGCGGTGGTTCCACTGCAGATGGTGGATTGGAAAGAGAAACCCGCATCAAGCTTTTTATTATTCTTTCTTCTGTTCATTTAACATGAACACTTTCTGCATTATAATAGTCTTTTAATGGTCATTTTAAAGGCTGTAGAATAGCACATGAGTACATGTGTCATATCACATAAGCATTCCACATTGCTAGATATTTGGGTTGTTTCCAGATCTTTACTATTATAACTAATGCTGTGATGAACATCATTCAAACAAATGAGTTTTTTCCTTTCTTCTGAATTATTCTCTTTGAGAACGTGCTAATTGACTAGCATTTCTGATGTTTTTCTTCTTGAAAAGCTCTTATTCCTTGGCTTTCACTTCTCTGCCCACTCCTCATTTCCTTCAGTTTCTTTTCCTTCACACCTTTAAGGACAGTCTTCCCCAGGATTCTAACTGCAACCTGTTTATTTCTTCACTGTACACACTCTCTCGGGATGATCTCATCCATTACCATGGCGTCAATGTCATCTCTCTGAGAGTGCTGTGCAGATTTCTCTCTCTAACCCAGATATGTGTCCTGATCTCTAGTCCCTGATCCCAGCTATTTCCTGGACATCTCCACTCAGATGTTTCACAGGTACGTCAAACTCTCTCTGTCCAAAAATAATTTCATCATCTACAAACTTCACCCAAACTTGCTTCTCTGTGTTCCTCATTTCAGTGAACATCACCACTGTCACACCAACACCTAAGCCAAAAGGCTAGAATTATCCTAGAATTTTCTTCCCCAACACCACCATGGAATTAACTGATCACCAGGTCTAATTGAGTCGACCTCCATATGATATTTCTCACATCCACTCACTTCTCTCTATTCACACTGCCAATACCTAAAATTTCAACCATCGCAGCACAGTTGTTAAAAGCAAGAGCTTCAGGAATAGAAAGTTCCAGTTCAAATCTACCATTTAATAACACCATGAACTTTGGCTAAACTACTTTATTTTTCTAATTTTTAGTTCTGTCATTTGTAAAACAGATATTAGTGTCTACATGTTGGGGTTGTTATGAAGATAAAATGAAACAAGTGCACAAAACAATTAGCACTATGTCTGGCACACGGTAGGAGCTCAGCAGGTAATCTTTAAGTTTTTATTTATTTTGTTTTTTGGGGGTGTCTGGATGGCTCAGTCAGCTAAGCATCTGACTTTGATTTTGAACTCAGGTCATGATTCCAGGGTTGGGGATCAAGCCACACTCAGTGTGGAGCCTGCTTGGGATTCTCTTTCTTTCTCTCCCTCTACCCCTTTTTCCCGCTCATGCTCACTCTTTCTCTCTCAAATGAAAAAATATTTTTTAAATAAAACTTGATTTCCCTTTTTCCCATATTTTCTCTCTAATATTTAGCCCAGTGGACATACTGCATCCCCTGCGTGGGGTATTGGCAATCCATCTTTTACCCAGCACTCCATCATGATCCAGCCAGGCAAACTCTAAGAAATCGAACTCCCCCGGGCTTCAATACCCTCTGCACTGACCTAGTGCATCCCCTGTTATAATTGCCTGCTTCTGCTCAATATCACCTATGAGACTCTATTGTCCTTGCATGTGAAGATTTTGATTAATTCACTGGTAAACCCCCAATGACACATAACTAGTATACAATGAACAGCTGAAGAAAAGAGAAAGAATGAATGAATGAATGAATGAGCTTGCTTGGCCAAAGAATGCAAACATTTTTATGGCTCTTAATAACTACAGTGAATCCCAAAAAAGAATGAGCCAATTTACACAGTCTTGTGGCCACAAAAAACTTAGCTTATCTCCCAAATTCTAAAATCCTTATGTTACCCTTAAAAGCTGTTTAGTGTATATTTTCAGCTATCAGCACCATGCTTATACAGTCTTCTCACCATAAATGAACATTTGAGAATCACACACTAACAAATACTGGATGTCAGCCAGACTTTTGGAGGATTCACTTCTGAAAGACTGTTCCTGATTTAAGTGTGAACAGAAAATTCTACATTACATATTTTAGAAAATGGTCAGCAGCTATACCCTGGCCCCACAAGTGAGAGGAGGCAAATTCACCTTGGATAGTCTGAGGATCTGGGAATGTTTCCCTTCCATCTCTCCACTGTAGTCTTCAGGATGAGTAATCAGCTGCCAGTCGTAGGTGTAGGTTTCTCCTATAGAAGGGCAGTTACAAAAATCATGAAAACACACACCTACACACAAAGAGGGCAGCCACACATGCTGCCAATAACAAATCTCTTAAATCTTGACAAGGCCTTAGTTTTTAAGATTCCACCCTAAAGCCTATAGGGAAAAACCAAACATTTTGTTGAAAGAAAGGGTGGATTCGGCTGACTCAGCTACAGTTAGGGCTTCTTCCACTCTCTCCCAGCAGTGCTCTTTCCTGCTCCATACCCACCCTCCCTTTGAGAGAGGCCAATCCTCCCTCAGAATACCAGGTTGCTCATGGTGTGGTATCACAGTGAAAATACATGCCCTACCAACCACTACAGATGAACTTACTGGGAACAAAGGCCATTTTCTCGCAAAACTTCGTTTGCAACAAAGAACAGCAATGACTTCTAAATAACATGGTTCAAAAATAGCTTTTTTACAGAGTGCTAACAATGCTTGTCTCACTGAGGTCATCACACCCTGGTGAGTTAAAAGAGCTACTTCATTCCTGCTGAGCTAAATAACACGCCGCAGAAGATGGTAGGGGATGGCCCATTTAAAACAGGCCCCACTGAAATTAATTAAAATCAAATGAAGCATTAATGGTCCTCATTTGTAGCTCAGACTATATGACTGGGTAGGGCAAGGACAGAATCCTGTTATCTAAATGGAATCCCTCCTTCGTGAAACTGGTCTTAAATTTGGAGGGGGGTGGGAGAACTAAATTCGTGTCTGCCTAGGGAAGGAAGGCTTAGTTTACGTTACTACTCAAAAGGAAAAAAGAAAAAACCTCAAAAGCATAACAGAGAATGGCCAAATCTAATTCCAAGATAGCCTTCATCTGAAGACCAGATTTTATTTTATAAGCCTGAGACACAAGATCTATTACTCTTCCTTCCTCTCCAAAATACTAGTTTTACGTTGGCCAGCTGTCAGGCCTGGGCAGCTCTCACAAATGTATTATGCAGAAGTCAGGTTAGGTGAGAAGCAGGAAAGCAACAGCAGCAGTGGGACTGGTGCTAAGAGATGACATTTCTTCCAACTGTAATTGGAAATTTTTTTTTTTCCACACAGAAAACAGACTCACACTAGTTTGGGAACTGACAATTTTACAATATCTAAGGCTGGTAATGCAATTTCAAGAAAGGACAATATTCCTAGGCCAGAAAAGCTTGGGGGATGCATTATGCCTTACAGCCAGAAATTTGCTCACGGGTGGGAACAACTGAGGATAGGTCTGCTAGACAGGATGCTGGTTTAAATGATTTAGGGCAGTGGTTTTCAAACCATGCCTTCGAATCCCAGAGGGATCCTGAGAGGCGCTTCAGGGACTGCCACAGGAGAAGAGGGGGAGGAAGAACTGGTCCTATTTATCTGTCCCCAACCTTTGGAAGTTTGAAACCATTCACCTCATGTATCTGATAAAGGCTGAGCAACTCATGGAGAGGAAAGTTGAAAAGAATCTGTTTCTCAACCTATGTGTTTTGGAATACTGATCTACAAGGTGACAGCAACTCACAGACATGTCCATGCAAACGGGTCAGACGAGAGGATAAGCCAGAACCCAGTTGCTTTTACAAAACAGTGGAGGCAACTGCAGCTCAAGGCTGTTCTCTCCTCACCTCCGTCTTCAAAGGTCACCTAATTCATTCACCTTAACTTACCACCAGAGCGGGGAAGGAAAAAGCTCCTCTGGAGGAAGTTGGAATGAACTGATAATTTGAGGGCAGACATATAGAACAGAGAGGGCATTTAGGTTCTGGAAAAGTACTTTTGCACAAATGTACTATTTGCTATTAGGCCTCTTAGAAAGCAGGACTCCTGTATAGGACAGGTGTACGTGTACCTAAGATGGGAAGACTCCAACCTGAATCCTAGAGCAGGACGTTCTACTTGACTCACCTTGTAATGAGAGGAACATAAACCCCATGCAACCATCTTCCACCAAAGTATGCTTCACTATTGTCAGAGAAAGTTTTAAGAAGTTCATATATGTTTCTAAGTCAAATTTTGGTATATCAACATATCCTTCAAAGGTGAAAGGGATACTCATAGTATAAAAGTTTTCTTAAACACTGAATGAATCATTCCCTAATTTATACATTTTATAAATCTGAATTTTATTTATCACGTTGGGCTTGTCTTTTTTTTATGTCAAATCTATATTAGCAGTAGTCTTAAACAATTTTTTAAATTTTTTTATTTTTGAGAGACTGAGAGAAACAGCGCGTGCGTGAGCAGGGGAGGATCAGAAAGAGAGGGAGACACAGAATCTGAAGCAGGCTCCAGGCTCCGAGCTGGCTGTCAGCACAGAGCCTGACGCGGGGCTCAAACCCACAGACTGCGAGATCATGACCTGAGCCCAAGTCAGACACTTAACCAACTGAGCCACCCAGCCGCCCCTATATTAGAAGTAGTCTTGAATAACTTCTCTACAAGTTCTGTATCTACTATTTACTAGTTGTTTAGACAAAATAAATAGGTTAACCTAATCTAAGTTTCTTCCTCTTAAAATGGGTACAACACAAGCTCCATTTAATGAACATCAGCTATATGCTAGGCACAGACTGAAGTAGGTCTCTTATATGCCATCTCATTTTGCCCTTAAAATAACCTCATAAAGTAGAAATTATCCTCATTTCACTAAGAAAAAAATGCAAACTTAGAAATGATTTGCTTAAAACTACTCAGCTAATGACTGGCTGAGCTGGGATCTGAACCAGGCTTGACATCAAAGCCCATGACTTCAAACACTATATTACACTGCCTCTTGCATAAGATAAATATTTGTGCATGTGCATACCATATCCTGTTCTCACAGGTCTCTTGCAATTAGTAAATGAGTTAAGGTGTGTAAATATTATTATCAATTATCAATTAAAGCATTATCCAAATGTAAGGGGATGTTTTACCTTCAAGTGGTTCTTGCAGAACAAATGCATTTAACTGCACTTCATTTTTAGGCAGGGTGATCTGGACACTCTTTCCAGCAGATACCACCAGTTCCTTAATAACTAGAAACAAAGAAAATATACAATACGTAAGAAATTAGATCCAGACTATCTCATTTCTCTCCCTCCTTTTGGGGCCCGATTTCTTTTATAAACAATATTCAGCTACTCTCTTTATTTCCTCATTATTTATCTACTCTCTAATCCCCTGAAATTTGATTCTGTCCGCACTTTTCCTCTAATAAAGATCTTTTGAGATCATCAACAAACTGGTCTTTAGCAAATCCAATAGCTCTCAACTTGCATACTTTACTTCTGTAGCATCTAATAATGCTAACTGCCTCGTTATTAAAACTCTCGGTTATCATGACACCATATTGTTCTACTTTTATTCCTTGTTCTCTGAGTTTTCCCCCCACTGTATTTTAACCTCAGTCTGTCCCTAAGCCCGCTTTATATAGTACTTTCCAGAGTTCAATAATCAAAGTTCCACTGTCTCAAGGATCATCTTTATGCTGATAAGTAACTTTCTAATCAAATACATCTATAACATTCCTAGAAGAAACGCCAAATATTGATCATGAAGCTAGCCTTAATAATTTCTTTCTATTCCAATTGCTACAAACATAGACTTAGGTTATTCCAAGAATCTTAACTGGTCTTCTGCTAACACTCCCCACTGTAACCCATTCTGTCTTCTTCAATTAATACCCCCACCATGTTACTCTCCTACTTAAGACTCCCCACTCCCCTATTATGTTAAAGGTAAGGCCAACTCTTAATCTGGCATTAGAGAACCATTATCATCTGATCACACCACCTCACCCTTCCTACTCAATTCTACCTCTAGCTATACTCATTTTCCCTCTGGTGCTCCATAGAAGACATAGTCTACTCTTGGGGATTTTGCTAATGTTATTTCCTTCAACTGGGGTATATGCTTTCTTTATTCTAAACCACTACTTTGTTTCTAGCTTAAAACCAGTCTTCTCTCCAAGAAATCTTCCCATACCATTTCAGCTCAAACTTACCTACTTCCTGAACTACTTCAGCATTTCTGGTATTAGCAACCCACATCAGTTAATAGCTATATATGGTCTACATGTTATTCAATAACTATTTCATACATGTCTGGGTTTCTCAACCTTGACACTACTGACATTTTGGACCAAATAATTCTTTGTTGTGGGTGGTGGGGGGAACTGTCCTATGCACTGTAAGATGGTTAACAGGATCCCAGGCTGACACCACTAGGTGTCTACTGACACCTCCTCCATAACTGTAACAACCAAAAATATATGCAGGTTGTTGAGAACTACTATTATATAAATCTTATTTCTCTGACAACAACTGTCATTTGGTATGAGACCTAGGAACTAGAGAGCTTAAAGCAAACAAACGGCTGGTCCACCCATATTTCAAGACTGGAGGGGTAAGAAGGGCTTCTTAGACAAACATGAAACTTGAGATTTATCTGCTTGGGATAAATAAAACACTTGGGATAAAAAACAAAAAACAAAACAAAACAAAACCAAAAAAACACTGCACTTGGGGAGAAAGGAAATCTTCCTTATGGAAGTATCAGCATTTAGACACCCTAGGAGGTTGAATAAGAATTCTCTGAAGTGACTTTCAAAAAAAGAAAAAGAAAAAAGAGAAAGAAAGAAAAGAAGAAAAGAAAGAGAAATCACTATACTCAGAAAGAGTATAATGGACAAAAATATAGTGTTGCTCAAACCCTTCACCATTACACCAAAAATTATAGGCATTCTGCCCGAACACAAAAATTACTTTAATGTCTCAGGATTGAAACCCCAAAATTTCATGTTATACCACTATGAAAAAAGACCCTAGGAAATAAAAAATCAGCAAAAATTCATTTTCACTGGCTTGGCTTCACCCTGTTACCTTTTCAGGGAATAAAGAATTAGTTTCCTTGATTAATCACTTCCTCCTAATACCTTAGAACAGGACTCATGAAGCACAGACTTGTTAAGGCAATACTCCTTATAAATTTCCTTCCTATGGGTTGCTTTAAAAATAAAGATGCTGCCAAAGTCAGAGAGACAAATAACTGACCTACAGTCAGCCATTCAGAAAGCATAAATAGGTACGTAGATCCAACTGTCTTCCCACTGGCTTCTGTTTGTTTGTTTCCTTGAATGTTACTTAATTCAATCTTGTGCCTTTTAGTCCCCAGCACAGTGGAATCTGGCTCTGGACAAAAGAGCCTCATTAATTCCCACAGGCTGGGGCCTTTTGAGAAAAGGATGGAGAGCCCCAAGTCCTATGATTACAAGTACAATGACAGGATTTATTTTCTCTAATCTACAGCACTCAAAAGTCATGCCCCCCTCCTTTTCTTGCAGTAGAGGGGATACTGTGATCATATGCTCTACTTTTCCATCTTCTCTCCAAGGGCAGAAGCAAAGTGCCTCACCTGGGTATGGTGTTGAGGTGCTCTGGAAAGAGGCCTGGGGGTTAGGGGTGGCATAACTGTAGGAGGGAGCCACTGGCAGAGGGGTAACAATCTGAATTCTCTCAGGGCTTTTTGCGTGCTGAGTGCTAGGCGTAGCACCAGGATCCTCTGATGTCTCAGGCTGGACTGACACATTCTTTGACCAACCAGGAATCTCCGCAGTCAGGACTGTGGTTAAGGGACTGGAAATTACAACTGCTTTGTGGACCTAAAGAAATGCAAACATTCACTTGAATGGGCAAAAGTTATACAGCCAGATTTTTAGGTTATGTCTCATAAAATAATTACACATTAAATGTTTTTATGAAAAATGCAAAACTGTCAAAAGTATTAAAGAAAATAATCTCACCACCCAAACTGGTGTTCAAATGTTGTTGTCAATCTTCCCAGTCTTATTTTACTATGCAAAGAGGTTTGCTTAAAACAAAATAGTCTTAATCATTCTATGCATACTCTTTTATCTTCTTTTCTCAACATTTATATTAAATCTTTCTACAAATACTCCTTAAACACCTATGGATTTTAAGGGGTTGTGGATCCAAAATATAAAGAAGACAGAATAGCTGTGCTCAACAAGTGCACAGTCTAGAGGGAGAGAGAACAAAAAACAGAACAAGCCAAAATGATAAATACACCTTTATAGGTTACGATGAGCCAAAAAAAAAAAAACATGGTCTGGAGAGTACTTATCTCCTCTTTTGGAGAGCATGTGAACGACAGTTTCAATAAATAAATAAAGGCTTTCTCTAGAGGACAGTCCTAAGCTGAGTTTAAAAACGTAAATGGTTGTTTACTAGACAAAAGGCTGAGGGAAGAGAGAATACAGGTATAGGAAATGAGATTAACATGGTTTGTGTTGGGAACTGAGAGTCAAAAGCAAAGTGAGAGGCAGAAAGTAATAGAGGATGAGCTGGAAAGACAGTCAAGAGACAGACTAAAGAAGACATATGCTATTTTAAGGTGCCAGGTAATGTTGAGCAATTAAAGTGTTGTAGACAAGGAAGTGACAGGGTCAGGTTTCTGTCTTAAACGGATCATTCAGGTTGCTGCATCATGTAAGGGTTTGAAAAACTAAGACCAAAGCAGAAATACTACTTAGGAGGGTACTGCATTCATCCAAATGAGAAATGATGAGCAGCTACACAAAGCTGGTGGTATGAATTTTTTAATCAACTGAATCGGAGTATATTTTACATAAAGTAAACTGCATGCTTTTAAAGTGTATAGGACTATGAGTTTTAACAAGGATATATACCCAGGTAAGCACAATCAAGAGAGAAATCATTTCTGTCAGCCCCAGAAGTTGGTTCATTCCCCTCTGCAGTAAATTCCTGCCTCCACCCTCAGGCTCACGCAACCACTAATTTGTTTTGTCTCCATTAGTTAGTTTGGGCTTTCTTGTACTCGTATAAAATGAATCTATTTTTGTTCACATGATATTTTTGTTTCTGGCTGCTTTCACTCAACATATTTTAAAATTCATCCATGTAGGAGAGCCTGGGTGCCTCAGTCTGTTGAACATCCGACATCAGCTCAGGTCCTGATCTCGCAGTCCGTGAGTTCGAACCCCATGTCGGGCTCTGTGCTGACAGCTCAGAGCCTGGAGCCTGCTTCAGATTCTGTGTCTCCCTCTCTGTCTCTGTCCCCTCCCCCGCTCATGCTCTGTCTCTCTCTCAAAAATAAATATAACATTAAAAAAAAATTCATCCATGTTATTGTATATGTCAGTAATTCCTTCCTTTTTATTACTGAGTAATACACCATTCTAGAGATACACCAGAATTCATTTACCCATTCATCTACTGATAGAAATTAAAGCTATTTTCAGTTCTCAGCTCTTATAAATAAATTTGCTATAAATGTTTGAATACCAAAGTTTCTGTTAACATGTGTTTTAGTTAATTTGGGGTAAATACTCAGAAGTCTTTATTGCAGGTTACATATAAGTGTATGTTTAAGTTTATAAGAAACTACTAACTGTTGTCTAAGGTGACTATACCAGTTTGCATTTCCACCAGCAATGCATGAGAATTCCAGGTGCTCCACAACTTCACCAATACTTGGTATTCTCAGTCTTTTCATTTTTTGTCATTCTAGTAGTATCTCACTGTGATTTAATTTGCATTTTTTGGATAACTAATAAGGCTGAATATTTTTTCATGTGTTTATTGGCCAGTCATATATTTTCTTTAGTGACATTCAAATCTTTGTCCATTTTTTTACTTTATTAAGGCATAACTGACATACAATAAACTGAGCATATTTAAGGTATACAATGTGACCAATTTTACCATATGCATACTTTGAAACCGTCACCACAATCAAGATAATGAGCATATCCATCACTTCCAAAGATTCCTCATGCTTCTTTGAAATCCCTTGTTCCAGTTCCCAGCCCCAAGCAACCACTGCTCTGCTTCCCTGTCACTACAAATTAGTTTTTGCATCTTCTAGAATTTTATATAAACAGAATCACATTGTATGTACTCTGTCAGCTTCTTTCACCTAGCGAAATTACTTTGCCGTTCGTCCATGTTGCTATCTGTATCAATACCTTTTATGATTGCTGAGCAGCATATATGCTAATATACCACAATTTGTTTATTCATTCACCAATGGATGGACATTTGGGCTGGTTCCAGTCTTTGCCTATTACAAACTGACCTGCTATAAATATTCCTCTATAAGTCTTTGTATGAACCATATATCCTTTCATTTCTCTTGTGTAAATATCTGCAAGCAGAATGCTTATCATAAGGGAGATATGCCTTTAACTTTAAAAAAAACTACCCAACTATTTTCCAAAGTTGTTGTGTCATTCTATAGTCCTACCACCAGTATGAGAATTCCAGTTGTTCTACAACCTTGCCAAAAATTGGCTTGGGAAGTCTTTTTAAGTTTAGACATTATGGAGGTGTATAATGGCATCTTATTGTGGTTTTAATTTGCAGTCTCCGAATGATAAATGATAAGTATCTTTTCATGTACTTATTGGACAGTTTTATCCAATAATGTATTGGATTGTATGAATTCTTGGATGGACTATCTGTTCAAATCCTTTGCTTTATGATTAGTTTTCTAATTAAGTTACAAGAGTTCTCTATATATTCTAGAGTATGACCTTTGTTAGGTATTAATTTGTAAATATGTTTTCCCAGTCTGTCGCTTGCCTTTTCATTTTTGTTACTGGTGTTTTTAAATACCAAAAGTTTATTATTTTTTTATTCTAATTTATCTTTTTTTTTCTTTTATGGTTCATGCTTTTAGTGATATTAGTTTATTCATTTAGTGACAAGATCACAAAAGGGTTCTCCTTTGTTTTCTTCTGTAAGTTTTATAATTTTAGCTCTTAAATTTAGGTCTATGATACATTTGAGCTAATTTTTCTGTACAGTATGAGGTAAGGGTCAATACTCATGTTTTTTCATATCACTATCCAATTGTTCCAGCATCTATTTATTGAAAAGATTATCCTCTCCCCATGGACTTGCCTTGGCACATCGACTAACCATATTTGTGTGGGTCTATTTCTGGACATTATTCTGTTTCACTAATTTAGTATATATATCTTTACAACAATACTTCTGCTTTGATGACTGCAGCTTTACTGTAAGTCTTAAATTTACAGAGTTTAAGTCCTCCAACTTTGTTGTTTATTTTCAAGATTGTTTTGACATTCTAAGTCCCAATCCATGAACATGATTGTACGAGTTTCCTAGGGCTGCCATAATAAATTACCACAAACAGTGGCCTAAAACAACAGAAACTTATTCCTTCACGGTTCTAGAAGCCAAAAGTTTGAAATCAAGACATCTGCAGGGCCACAATCCCACTGAAGGCCTCTGGGGAGACCTTCTATGCCTCTTTCAACTCTCAGAAGCTCTTAGCATTTCTTGGCTGTGGCAATATAACTTCAATCTCTACCCCCATCTTCACATGGCTGTCTTCCTTTTGTCTCTATGGGTCCAAATCTACCTTTCCTTCCTCATGAAGACACCAGTCATTGGATTTAGAGCTTACCCTAGATAAATAAAGAATGATTTTAACTTAAGATCCTTAACTAACTACATTTACAAATATCCTATTCCCAAATAAGGGCAGATACTGAGGTTCCAGGAGGACATTATTTTGGAGGGAACACTATTACAATGTGGTATTATTTCTCCATTTATTTAGTTCTTTAATTTCTCTCAGCCATGTTTTACAGTTTTTGGTATGTAGCTCTTGCACATATTTTGTAAATTCATCCTTAAGTATTTTATGTTTTTGTATGCCATACTTTTTAAATTTTTTTAATGTTTATTGAGAGAGAGAGAGAGAGAGAGCGAGCATGCATGCAAGTGGAAGAGGGGCAGAGACAGAAAGAGAGAGAATCCCGAGCAGGTCCACACTGGCATCCCAGAGCCCAACATGAGGCTCTATCTCATGAATCATGAGATCATGGCCTGAGACAAAATCAACAGTCAGATGCTTAACCAACTAAGCCATCCAGGTGCCCTAGATGCTATACATTTTTAAAAACTTCAATTTCCAAGTATTCATTGCTAATATATAAATACAACTGATTTTTGTATATTGGTCTTATATCCTGTAGCCTTTCTAAATTCCCTTAATAGTTCCAGTAGTTTTTGTACAGATTCCTTGGAATTTTCTGGGTACACGATTCTATCAGTTGTAAATAAAGGCAGTTTTCGTCTTTGTCTCCCATTTGTATTCATTTAATTTCTCTTTCTTGCATTATTACATTGGCTAGGACCTCCAGTACAACGCTGAGTAAAAGTGGTTAAAGCCACTATTTGTGGGGTAATTTTTATCTTGTTCTCTTTATATCTTTGAACACGGATTCCTTTAACTTTCTAAGCATTTAAAAAAATTTTTTAATGTTTATTATTTTTGGAGAGATGGAGACAGAGTACAAGTGGGAGAGGATCAGAGAGAGAGGGAGAGACAGAATCTGAAGCAGGCCGCAGGCTCCAGGCTCCAAGCTGTCAGCACAGAGCCTGACGCAGGGCTCAAACTCATGGGCTGTGAGATCTTGATCTAAGCCAAAGTCAGACTCTCAACTGACTCAGCCACCCAGGTGCCCCTAAGCATGGTTTTAACAGCAGTATTGAAGTCTTGCTAAATCTGACAGCTGAGTCCTCTCGGAACTCACTTCTACTGATTACTTTTTTTTTCCCCTGAGTACAGGTCAAACTTTCCTGATTC